ACCGCAACAGACCAACCAAATTTTCTATCTGCAGCATAGATTTGCAATAATCGCACTTCGTGAGTACCATAGTTTCCATTGTATCTCACTGAGTCGACTGAGAAATCCCCATATTCTCGGGACTTAATCCACAAATCCTGAGTAACTCTGCGAAGGGCATCAATGAAATGTCTTTTGCATTGAGTTCTTGTTCTCTCAGGATCACTGGCCGCATACACTCTCTTCCAGCCTTTGAGCGAAGGTGAGCAGCAAGTGTGTCCGCCCTACCAAATGAGGCCTTACAACCCCACGTAGTACCATCATCGAGTTCGCCGAAACAAATAGATTCTTTTTCTCCATGACCGCGCTCATGCCTGTTGCAATCTCTCTTGCGAGTGAACTTCTTGTCGCACAAGGTGCATTGGTACGGTTTCTCGGAGTTGTGGACTCGAACATGCGCTACCAGATTGTGCTTTTGCGTGAATGTTTTGTTGCAAAGCTCGCATTTGAAGTCGCGAGCGTTCTTGGTAGATGAATGAGGGGCTGTTCTTAGTTGTTGTTTAGGAAACTCGTCCGCATTCGACATGTCGAAGCCATGGAAATCGAGCATGTGTCTCTCAAGCTCATTCTTCGCAGCAAATCCAAAATTGGCCGAATGGCAATTTGTGATGGTGCATAAGAAAGGGCGCTCGTGCCGATTCACATGGTCTTTTCGTTGCCCGGCATTTTTGAACCCTTGATGAAAGTAGTAGCAATTGAGACGGGGACACTTGAACCAAGATGCACCATAGTACTGAATCAAAGTAGCCTGCTCTTGGTCTGTCAAGCCATCCTCTATCTTTTGCTCAAATACCTCTCGGATTGATTTGATAACTTGCATCAAGCGAAGTGGTGCTTCATCAAGGCAGGTCTTATCAGGACCCTCGAGTTGTTTCTCCATCCATGATGCTGCCTGTAGTAGGTCGTCGTAGCAGTCGGCCTTCTCGAAACGAATGAATTTTCGTTTGACTGATGCTGATATGTTGTTCATTCTCGAAGACGCTTCCCAATGCATGGGAATGAAGACATCTAAAGTATCCACTAGATTGCTGAGATCATCGGCTTGGGACGCATCTCCGACTGCGGTCGCCACGTCTAACGCCCAACATGAAAGCGCATATTCTGCATATGAGTAGAAACCGGTCAGGATCGAATTTGAAATATTCTCGTCGGGGTAAGACGGGTCAAAGGGTGGAAGATTAAGATAGGCCAAGCTCAATATAGCCAACGAGTGGTCTGGATTTCTCCATTGGACAAAGTTTGTTCTGCGGAGATACCTTTATAATACGGTTGTGATTAGCAAATCTTCAGAAGATGTATTCTATGCTTCGCCTAATAAAACTTACTCTTTCGCAGTGCTGTGGATCAAAGTGATGCTGTCGTCGGATTCTTGCTGGACTAATGATGCGAAGAGAATATCGGGTGAGTCGAGGAGCCTTTTCTCAAAATTTACGTCTTGAGTCTCCAGGTCCACTGAGATGGCTCCCTGTAGCTCGCGCCATCTCAGAGGCCTTTGAGCAGCGACTATCCAGCCAAGTACCTTTCGAATCATGGCAGAAAGTGGTTCTGGACGGGAATCCGTAATGCGGTACAATATGCGGTCGTATCTGGTAGATCTAAAGTCAGTATTGAATACTTGAAATATTTTTTTGGTTACATACAAGTCATCAAGCTCCACAGGCAATCTTTCAGGGTTGAGTTCCTGCTTCAGTTGGTCCGGAGAGCCTAGGTTGAAAAGATACTCTGCGAAAAGCCGCGCAAAAATAAACATGCCTAGCTCAAGTTAGAACAACATGTCTCAAGGGAAATTCTTGATACTCGCCTTGAGATCTTGCCACAATTATGTTGGTAATGTGAAAGAGTCTTGCATGGAGGTTCCCGAAACGCTCCTCGATACGCTGCTGCCATTTCTCCGCAAATGCCTTGATGTCTTCCTTGTTTTCAGCTGAAGAGACCCTTATCATGGGAACTTGAGCCAGATCTCTACGTCCTACACCATCGTCCTGACTCACAAACATTATCCGTATACTGTCAGGATCACTACCTATCAGCGTCTCGGCTTCTTCTTGGAACCATGCAGTTATTGTTCTGCGTTCACTTCTTTCGCATTCATCTAGCCCGTCAAGTATGATGAATTTCGTTTTCGATTTGCCTTCTAACGCTTGGTGTAGCATCTCCTTGGCCAAATCTGGCGACGTTAGAGCCATACTGCCCGACGACGATTTGTTGTCGTAAAATTGATACAACAGATCCCCGTCCATATCCTCACGAAGCAATTGTGCTGTTATGGACTTTGCGGCACTCAGCATACTGTTTCTTGTTTGATCTCGAAACTTGAAATAAAAATACGAGACCGACACCTCAGGGATTGTCTTGACTTTGTCTACAACAAGCGATGCTAGGATAGTTTTGCCTGTTGAATCTCTTAATTACAAATATCCTCAGTGGTTTGAGAAGAAACGAAAACACTGACCTGCGCCTGGAATTCCATTGAGCCACAAGAGCGGAGTCGTACAATATTGCGGGAGAAGCCAGTCTTTGACCTTTGGATGTTCCAGAAGCCATCGTCCAGCATCTGGACAGATGGAACTTATTTCTTTGTAAGAGTCCTGCAGACCATCTGGCAGGAAAGGCGATAGCCATTCCATTACCTCACAGAAGCGATTGCTCTGCGCTGATTGATCCATCAATTGAAACATTTGTTCCTGTTGTTGACGAATAATTTTTACTTCTTCAAACTGTATCAGTGACGCACGGCTCTCTATGAGATGTTTGTGGCGAGTCAAATTATCCTTGATCATTTTCAGTCTCAAATTGAAGCCTTTCCAAGTAGCACGGAAGAGCTGTTTCCACACTGAATAGCCATTGTTTCAGCGAAGGTTCATGAATGCAGCAAGGATGATAAATTACCTTTTGATTTGAAGTGTCTCAAGGTCTCTCGGTGAAATTCCAAGATATCTGTATATATATCCTTTAGAATTTGACCCATGTGGTCATTGCCAGCAAACAAGCTCTGGTAGCTGGCCAGGAGAGGTATTTGCTCCCCAATTTCCTGGTAGGCGTCCAGGATACAATGTAGGGCCTCCGCGTGTGTAGAAGCGACCTTGATAAGGTTAGCGCTGGGTGACAATCAAGCGTTTCAATGCTCGCGTTGCTTACTTGCAGGATGAACTTCATTGGGCCCTGAACATTAACATCAGCGGCGAGAACAATCGATGGAAGGAAGAAGTGAAATAGAGTAAGAAGACAAAAGAGACACATAAATAAGAGGGGGGAACGCAGAAGAGATGGAGACAAAAACTTACCCAAACGAAGGCAACTACCTCATTAACGTTCACGAATATCTCGATAAGTTTTCCGTATTCTTCCATCGACTTTAAAAATGGGTCAAGTCGCTTCAAATTCATCATGCAACGTCTGCTTTCTTGATCACTCTCCATTTTGCGCACTGCAAGCTTCAAATCGTCAAGACTTGTCATGGAAAATTCCAGCTCTTCTGAGCTGGAGAGTCGAGCCCTTTGCTTGAAAGCGCGCAACGCATCCACGAACTGATCCTTAATAGGCAGCCAACTTTGCGCGCTGGCCGCCATGATGTTGTTCTGTGAGTCCATAGAATCTTTTTGCGAACGTTCCGGATTGTGATCCCTGAGAGATTCTTGAAGAAGTGGTGATTTTGTATTGACTTTGGGTAAGGCTGTGGGGTTACATGTTAAGAATCGACTGCATGAAATGCCTGTCTGCCTGTGGTGGGGGTAGCCAAGGTTGACTTTGGGCAGAGCTGATGTTGCACAGATGGTGGCGGTGTACTCGAATGCATTTCGGATGATGATCTCGGTGGGTCCTCACTTTCGCCAGCATCCATAGAGCCGTTATAAGTGATGGTTCTGAAGGCTTTTTTTCCCCTCCCTCATTTCAACTGATGGGATATCAGTGTACTGATGTTCGCTCGGTATTTGTTAGCATCATGTCGTCCATACCAAAACGATTGTTGCCAAATCGCGGCACAAACGGCTATTGCCATAGCCAAGGCAACCCTCCAGCCAAGCGGCAAAAGCAAGACGACAATATGCCTCACGGCGCACATCTGTCCACGCAACTACGGCAATCTACTCGACTCGAATGTAAGAACTCCGTCTCGGTATTGAGTGACATAAGTAGATCTCTCTAGCCACCCGTTCATTTCCGGACTGAAACCCAGATATTTAGCGTTACCCTGTCAATCCCTTTCTCAAACAGATTCCAGCGGCAGTCATGGGAAAAGTTTAACAAGTAGCTCGAGTTCTTGGCAGACACTTGCATCAAACGATGATCGTCATGAAGTTGATATTTCCTGTTTTGGAATGGTAAGTGCCTAGCAGGACACTCTTCGGTATCTTGAATTGAGGGGCTCATGTTATCATAGCTTTGCGATGTTCAGATACAGCTGAGCGTGGTCCAACCAGGGTTTCACCACAATCTCCAAACCTACCAGAGCGACAACGAGAACTTCAATGTCGTCGACGTTTTTTTCGACCACTCCAACGGCGTGATCCGAGCTGAGGATACCACGCCGATTGCACTGTTGAATGTCAAGGCCTACAGGGCTTTGACTTCAGAAATTGACCCCTCGCTGCTCTCCTGCATTGGTCTCGTCAGACAAAAGGATCTCGAACAAGGCCTTTTTAACTCGACGTCACTCCGAGTGCCACGGTCGCAAAAACCTTCATGCCCTATGGATGTCATCATATGTGGACCGCATTATCTTCGCGATAAATTGAGTAGAAACCTGTCCAAGTCCAGGTTATTCTTACAGCGCCCTCGATTTATCCCTGACCATAGAATTTATGATAACCCGCATTATCTAGGCCTCCCAGGCCCCGACCCGATGGAGGGAGAGGCTTTGTCTTCTATCACGAAGACTACTACGCCAGAAGGCGAAAAGGGCAAAATCCTTTCTTCAGAGTCGCCAGAGTCTTCACAGACGATTGATGCTATAGACATTCTCAGCCATATTACGGTTCAAAACGACCTGCAGGAAGTGGATATGGATAAGACTTTGATAAGAACAGCCCTGAAACCGTACGGTTATCATGTCTCATAGTGTACACCCAGAGCGCTGATTAAGTCATCAGGTACCAGAGAGAAGGAATCGACTTTATCCTCCGTCGAGAAAGGCCGTCACCAGATGACACGAATAGTCTCTGGAGAAGACACTGCTCATTCGAAAGCGAGCCGCTGTCAGTACTCGTAGTAACGAACATCGCTATATCCACTGATGAGGGCATTAGGTATCTCCATCGGATAAGTGACACAAAGAGTCCAATACCTCGAGATCCACCTGGGGGAATACTTGCCGATGACATGGGCCATGGGAAAACACTGACAATGATATGTGCCATCGTTCGGACCTTGCAGCAATATGATACTTACAATAAGCAATTGCCTTCACCAAAATTTAAGTCAGACCATGGACGCAATCCCAGCAAGAGTACCCTAGTTGTACTTCCCTCTGTGGGTAAGTTGCCTACTGTCCTACTTACTGAACAATAGAACGTGCGCTGATGTTTGCACTGGCTGGAAGTATTAATGGATACATGGATTGACGAAATCAAAAGGTATGCTCAATGTATCTTCAGGAACCCTAACGACTAACTAAACAGACAGACATGTCGTAGAGGGGAAAATATCGTACTGCAAATATCACGGCCGTATGAGACGCTTAGATGACTTGACCAATTCGCCTCATGACATCGTCCTTACTACTTATGCCACGGTTGCCAAGGATTACAGTCCAGGAGGTGGAATGCTCGATCATTTTCAGTGGCATCGATTGGTGCTTGACGAAGGTATATTAGCTAAGATCTCGATCTTATGTATATTCTACTAAGGCGTTAACAGCACACACCATACGAAACGCTTCGAGTGGGCAATTTCAAGCCGCCATGAAACTGTCGGCAAATATAAGATGGTGCATCACAGGCACGCCAATTCAGAATTCCATCCATGACCTAGCTTCGCTGTTCAAGTTCCTGCGTATACCTTACTTGGAGGATGATCGAACCTTTCGTAAACACATCATCGGTCAAACGTCCGTCTCTGGGGCCATATCCAGACAGGGATTGGAGAATCTCAAGTTAGTCCTTGGTGCTGTCTGCATCCGACGAAGTTCATTACTCGTTGCGGAATCTGATGTGCTCTACAAAGAGATACGAGTAGATCTCACACCAATTGAGCGCGGCGGGTATGCTTCGATCGGCATGTCCATCAAAAAGTCGCTAGATGCCACTGTCAGTTCTCATAAATGTGGAGGAGCAAGTCGCATGCTGCTCAGAGGTATCCTGAAACTCAGGCAATTCTGCAACAATGGTGGACGTCAAATATGTTCGTCGTCCGGCCATGGTGATTCAATGGACACTTTGGACGAAAAGATCAGCCTTCTCGAACAGAGTTCGGAGACGACATGTGCCCTTTGCTTAACATCCGTGCTAGTCAATGGTGAATTCGACCCAATGCGACTACCACAGCTTACGTGTTGTGATGCATTGATATGTGGCAGTTGTGTACCCCAACTCCGATCACAGACTTCTTCAGCTGGGACACTGGAAGCAACACCATGTGTCGTTTGTGGGGACGACCATGATGGTATAGACTATCTTGTCGAAGCCAGCCCAAATTGTTCAATCGAGCCATTAATTGAGCCTTGGACAACCACAACTTCTAAGCTGCATGCATTGGTCACTGATGTCATTGAACATCACATGGAGGAAAAGAGGTACTCTCTGATATGTCGGGGTCATTTACGCCGACTGATGGCTAACTATGAAACAGCATTGTTTTTACTTACTGGATTAGCACACTGGATATTATAGAGAGCATGTTCCAACAGCAAGCAATCTCATTTCGACGTGTCGACGGCACACTTAGTACAATGAAGAGAGCAGAACGGCTATCGCAATTCCACCAAGACTCGAGCATCCGCGTGCTCATAATGACTCTCAGTACCGGTGCTGCAGGGTATGCCACTCTATACTACAGGACATGAATTTGCAGGCGATGCTTGATGAATCGTATGCTAATAGAGTCCTTTGATATAGACTGAATGGTCTTTCAGTGGCCAGTCGACTTCACCTCGTCGAACCCCAGTGGAATCCATCAGTCGAGGATCAAGCCATAGGACGGGTCAAGCGCATGGGTCAAGATAGGCAAGTTACAGTCCTGAGATACATCACAAACGACTCGATAGAAATAGTAAGTTATCATCGTTACAAAACAGCTCGAGGAGCCCAGTTCTGATAATTGGACAGAGTGTGCAAAACCGGCAGTTGCAGAAGAAGAAGCTCGCCAACGCTAGCGGTCTACGCGCAGCTGATGATAATAACGGTCAAAGAGATCGAGGTATGTATCGAAAGGAACTGGAATCGCTGCTATGTATCTAAACGTTAGACATCATACGATATAGTAGTTGAAACTAAGCCCCACACCGAGCATAGAGGTATTAACTGTCCGAACATTTCTTGAAGTGCGTGAGTCTGGTATTTTGCAACGAGAACTTTAATTGCCTTAAGGCCGACCTGACCCAGTTTAATATCTCTGCTTAAGTCGGAAAGATGTATCATGGGATTGATTACTAGTCCTTAACGTTATAACGCATTGTCGAAAGTGAAAAGCCCCTCACGCACTATCAACACAGCCACTATAAGGCTGTGCACGAATAGCCATATACATAGGTACGAAGTAGGCCTCAGCCATTTGGGGCGTCTCACGGCGTCACTGAAAAAACAGTCCTGTTTGACCATCACGTGATTCATTCATGAAGCAGATTCAAATTTCAAGATGAACGGCGATACTACATCAATCCAATCAGAAAATGCGCATCAATCTGTAAAGGGGAAAGCGCTCATCTTGCTTCCCAGCTTTAGCGAATGTAGGGTTGTCGCGATCCATCCAACGCATTATGCAATTCAGCAAAATGCATGCAAAATGCGTGCAAAATAGAGAGCTATACAGCACACTAGCCACACACTAAGACACATACGCCACATGCCTATATACGCCTTACAAAATTGGTAGGAAATGCCGAGAGAGGTACCTCCAGCTTATCTCGGGATCCATATTTTCTGTGGCGTTATGAAATTAGTGGGGCTGCTCAGAAATGGAGTCCTGGTAGGGTATAATTAGCGTAATATACGCATTATGCAGTAAACTGCATTATGTGCGTATAGACCGCGGTCTTGCATGTAAACGGCATCCCTAAGCGAATGTCTGTCTCTGTGTGAGTCACAGCGTCGATTACAAAGGCTCTTACCTGGAAGCAAGGGGGGGAGGGGACACCACCGGCTGTACGGAGGTACGTACTGCGTATTCGACGCTCAGCGCCTAAACCTCTTTTAGGCTGCCGGCTCGCCGCTCCAGTCCCACAGACCAGACTTGTTGTCAAGCCTGACCTACACCTCCTCCAGCATAATAAACGTTAGATCGGTACATGCCCCATATTTCTTTGCTCTGGTGTGCCTGGTATCTTCCCTCATCTTTTCTATGGCACGATACGGCTTATAGAAATTTCTAGCAACTGGTGTGGACACCAGGCGACGAACCTTCATAACAGCCAGTATTAAGCAGCACAAAATATATGGGAGAGTACGTGGTAAATCACTGGATCCAAATATGGGGGTTTGGTACCGATCTAACGTTTATTATGCTGGAGGAGGTGTAACATGGATGCGGCTTAGTCCCATGATTGTGGCTGGTGTGTCTACGCCACAACAGTGCTTGTGTTATCCATCCGTGAGACCCGTAACCTAGTTATTTAGCAATGCATGCTTCTTACCACAATTTGTTTCGTGCTCATGGTAATCAATGATTGATCCATTTGTACGATAAAGTATCATATAGGTGGGGATGGATAAAGTACAAAGCTGAGACTTGGATCCGAAGTGTACAGCGGATCGCCCTCGATACTTATGGATACGGCGACATACATATGTACAGTTTGGAATGTCTTGGCCTCCAAGCCATGACATAAAAATAAAACACCGAACCTCCCAGGTACTTTCAACAGTCTTCTTAATCGGAAGTACTGACGGCAGTGATTAAGCTAGCTTTGGCCAATAATCAAATCCAACTTGGATTCAGATCTTTATGCCCGTGCATATAAAATAAAAAATAAAACTAAGGGAGCATCTTTCGGCCCCCTATAGAGATCTCGCAAACATTACGAGAAACATCGAGAGTCAATCGATTTCTGTCATTAGATCTATAAGTACCTAGGCGTCTTCAAGATGGAACCCCATACGTCTTACCAGACTGATGTTCGGAAAGTCAATGTCAAAACCCGTTAACTTCTTTTTGAGCTGCCCAGGTAGATGCATGTGAGTTTTAGAGCTTCGATTGTGTGGACTTGCCCAGACATGATTCGGAGTTGACATCTTCGGTGCTAGCGTTTCGAGAGGTACACTATTGTACTTTGTTATTTAATCATTCTACAGCGGATCATTCGCGACTTTCACGGACTTTACTTCCGGGCTGCTCTGGCGACCAAAGCTACCCTGTTTCGGAATCCCAGAATTATACCCCAAAATAGTCATGGACCTTTTATCTATGAATATGGTAGTAAGAATTCGGGACTGTTGCATTCACAGAAACCCTCCAATATGAAGTGCATCTCTCCGAGGGCCGGCTTAGGCGCTCTCATCAGCAGCAGCAGCTTTCGCACATCAACCCCACCAAGTCCGAAGCAGGCGCCTTGGGCTGCCGTCACCATACACTTCTTCTGCACGGATACTCGGCCCTCATCCAACCAAAGAAAAAACGCGCCGAATCATCTCCGGATTTCCTCCATTCCCTCTTTCTCCTCCTCATCTTTCTCACGAACCACAGCAGCAGCGGTAGCAGCAGCAAAGATGCCGGACAGGAAAATGTCGACAAACAAGATGGAGCCCCCGCCCCCGCCGCCCGTGAGCACGGCGGGCGACCTCGTCGAGTCGGCCAAGCGGGCTGCGGGGCGCAAGGCTGTGGCCGAGCACCTGCACCCGTCGTACACGCGGATCGGCATCGGGTCCGGCTCGACCATCAAGTACGTGGTCGAGGCGATTGCCGACCTGCCGCGCGAGCAGACGGACCGCATGAAGTTTGTGCCCACGGGCATCCAGTCGCGCGACCTGATCCGCGTCGCCCGCCTGCCCCTCCTCGCCATTGACGACATGGTCATGGAGGCCGAGTACGAGGAGGGCCAGCAATATCTCGACGTCTGTTTCGATGGTGCCGACGAGGTCGATCTCGAGCTCAACCTCATCAAGGGCGGTGGTGGCTGTCACTACCAGGAGAAGCTGGTTGCTGTGTCGAGCAAGAAGTTTGTCTGCGTTGCTGGTAAGCTTCATTGCCCCTCCTTGCTTTGATTTTTTCCCCCTCCAATATGCAACACGCATTCATTACACAATATTGATTCTGGTCCTAACTGTTTCATTCTCTTTAGACTACCGTAAAAAGGTCGACCGCCTCCTCACCAACTGGGTTGGTGTCCCCATCGAAGTACAGCCTCTATTCACCGAGCGCGTGCGCCGCCAGCTCATTACCATGGGCAGCATCAAGCCCTTCATACGGTCCGGCCTTCCCGGCAAGGCCGGCCCTATCGTGACGGACAATGGAAATCACATCATTGACGCCCCCTTCCCGCCCCTGCTCCTCAACAGCGAAAAGGACAAGACAGACCCCTCCAAGGGCTTGTGGACGGTGGACGAGTTGGCCACGCGGCTGAAGAGCATGCAGGGCGTGTTGGAGACGGGTATCTTCTCGGGCTACAACGGCCCCCAGTCAAGGACCCTGCTTACAGACGCAGAAAAGCCAATTATTGTGTACTTTGGTATGGCCGATGGCTCAGTAGAGACAAGAGAGGCTCAATAGTTTCAAGAGCAAACTATAGCAGTGTCGTAAAGTATAAGTCGGGCGGCGCAAAAGCCACTCCCTGGCCCTCTCGACCTATCAGATAAGCTCATTCCGTATATGAAAGAATAAAAAGAATAGAAAAGAGTAAAGAAGCTATAAGACGAATGCATATCTTGATCCTTGTATCGCTATCATTTTGATTCATCCATTTCATATCTCAATTGCGCTGAAGCGAAGGCGTATTACATATACTAAATTCCATATCGGTGTAAATGCCCGGCAACTTCTCTCCATGGCTTCGTTCATGCAATGCACAGAACCACGTTGGTATTTCAACCCATCGCAGCTGCTTTCATTTATCATACAATCTCTTCGATCGATTATGCCGTATGAGGCCTTGCAAGCCGCCACAACATTATATCTGCCCATCCTTGATTCTTCGACTGTGTATTTAACACCTTCTTCCGAAGGGAAAGGCATCGGTTTCGGGGGCGCTTTAGCAGGAGCAGCCTTCCTGCTGCGGGGCTTGAGTGTTCGTCTTGACATCAATCACTGTTTCTCATGTTAACCATCTGTCGTGTGCAAATTGCATGCCCCCCTTGGATCGGTTGGAAAAAGTGATGGTATACGTACTCTGAGATGCTGCTTGCCCAGCGGCATCAGTGCCCTCCATTCCTGGCAGAGCCTGAGCTATTCTCCGGAACAAAGTCTTGACATTGTGGCCGAGCTTTGCGCTCGTCTCCACAAACATGAGGTTGTTCTTCTTGGCCTCGTCTTCTCCCTGCTGTGTTGTAACCTCACGTTTGTCGTTAAGATCAGTCTTGTTGCCGACTAGCACGATAATTACATCGTTGCCTCGCTCGGCCCGCACATCGTCTATCCACTTCTTTGTGTTCTGGAACGACTTTGCATCTAAGGGGGAAAAAAGATGTGTTAGATCCCACTCCATGAAAAAGCGGTGACAGAGACAAAAATGACCACAAAACATACTTGAGATGTCGTACACAACAACAGCCACGCTCGAGTCTCTGATGTACGAGGGGATCAAACTTCTAAATCTCTCCTGTCCTGCCGTATCCCAGAGTTGCAACCGTACAGTCCGGTCTTCCAGGTACATGGTCTGTAATATGCAAGATGGGTATTAGTTCCTATGCCCAAGATCGCCATGTTTTGTGCTTTGCCGTGATGGTTTGGCTACAGTGGGTGCTTGCCTTGGAGAGGAAGTCGATGCCAATGGTGGCTTGGTACATGTTGTCGAACGAGTCGTACATGAACCGCGTGATAAGAGATGTCTTGCCCACTGCAAAGTGTACATGTCAGTGGCTGTAGCTATTTGATACGAAAGTCAATTTCTTGACCCTCGGGCGCTTGAGTGCATACCGCTTTGTTCACCAAGGAACACCAGCCTGCGTAGGTGGTCATGGTCAGCATCACCGTCGTTCTACAAAGCCAATGAGCTGTACAATTGGGGAGGCGCCTTTACTTGAACTTTTTGAGGGGGTTGCTGTACGACCCGCCTGTCCCAGCTTGAGCCATCTTTGCGGTTGGGGTTGGGTTGCGCGACCTTGTAGATGTCGAGGTTTGCGTGAAAAGTCGAGTCGGAAACACACAATGGAACTGGCGGCGAGGATATTCTGAAGTCGGTACCGTTCAAAGCTTGGGACAACGAGCGTCCAGTCAGTCGGTCGGGCTTCTGGTGGACGGGGGCGGGATGCAGAAAGGGGGCGCGGCTCCGCGGCGGTAGGTACTGGCAGCTGGGTTTCCTACCAACGGGTTCAGTAGTAGGTAGTAGTAGCACTACGTATGTCGCTAAGGCGTGCGGGTTCTGGGGGTCCAGTTGGGGGTCCAGCTGGTGGTATCAAAATCGACGGTCAATAGTGTGGATCATGTGTTGTTCAAAGAACAAGTGGGAATATTGGTTGCGGTCGGCGTGAAATAGTAGCGTCGTCGTACTATCTAACAAGAACGAAAAGAGAGATTTGGAAAAACGTGTCGTCGCAATAAATGAATGGCTTGATTGAGTGCGGAAGAGATAATTAATTTATGACGTCCAAAGAATTATTAGATAGGACAAAAAGAAACTATCCTTCTAGAAAGGCATAATTATATGTAGTGATTAACTTTACCTGGTTGAAAGTTTTTGGCCAATGGCTACCGGCAGTAACTTCCGTGCGGCGACGTGCAGGTGCTGTCAATACTGGAGACAAGAACAGCGCATAGCCTCGACGGATCCAACAGTTTGCTGTGCTAGTTGCAATTCGCTGCCTGCCTGTAAGGAAGGTCCCTGACTTCCACTGCTCAGCTCAAAGCAAACCCACAGTCGCTCAGCTACCTACCAGCTACCCACCCGCTTACAAAGGTGGTTCAGCAGGCTTTATTCAATTTGGCGGGCGTTGGCAGGTGTCGACTCTCACCTCTGCAAAAGAGTCCAAGCACCAGACCACTTTTTAGTACCCGCATGTTTTTGACCAACCCAAAGTCCGATAAGATAATTTTGTCTTATCAATCCCCTGGCGTACCGAAATTTTGCGAAAGTTTGGGCCAACTGATTGCAAAGTCCCCGCCAAAAACTTGACGAGCCGAGATTTTACAGTGTGCGCCCCAAACACCACAACATATCAAACTCTTATTGAAGAAGCAGACTTTGGTTGCGGCGATTATCAAGGGAAGCAGTCACAATGCCTGTCATCAAGCCCCTAACAGGGTCGACCGAGGCCCCGGCCACATACAAACAGCCCTCCAGAAAAGGAAAGAAGGCATGGCGCAAGAACGTCGATGTTACCCAGGTTGAGAAGGGTCTCGAGGAGCTGAATGAGGAAATCATTAAAGGGTTCGTCGAGATCATTCCTTGAGTACGAATTCAATTTGCGCTAACACAATCTACAGTGGTGTCGTAGCAGAGCGGGACTCTGATGATCTCTTCACACTTGACACCGTCGGCGATGCTGCAAACCCAAAGAAGTTTCCCAAGCACACTACGAAAAAACTCAAGTCGGACGAAATTCTAGCTGCGCGCTCAGCCATTGCCCCTGTTGATTCACGAAAGAGAGCCGGCGACAGTGTTTCCAAGACCACCGATGGCATAATTGCGTCCAAGCGACAGCGCACCGGCTATGTTACGCAAAAGGAACTTGCTCGGCTCAAGAAGGTAGCCGATGGACACCATGAGGACACAATCGAGTTTTCAGAGACAGTCTACGATCCTTGGGCAGTTGCACCCGAGCCTGAAGTAAAGAGCGAGCTGCACGATACTCGGAACGACAAGAGGAAAGCCCCAAAGAGCATCACGGAGAAGCCCATTTCATTAGCAGCAAGTGGCAAGCGAATTCCGGCTGTCGCAAAGCCCACCGGAGGCTACAGTTACAACCCTTCTTTCCCAGAGTACGAGGCACGATTGAGCGAAGAAGGAAACAAGGTAGTCGAAGCCGAGAAGAAGCGCCTCGCAGAAGAGGAGGCAGACCGTCTCAGGATGGAGGCCGCCGCACGGTCTGCGGCTGAAGCAGAGGCTGCCGAAGCCAGGGCCGAGCTCTCGGAATGGGAAGAGGACTCGGAGTGGGAAGGCGTTCAGAGCGGCGGCGAGGAGCTCAAGACCTCGGCCAAGAGACCGGGAAGAAAGACACAGGCTCAGAGAAACAGGATCAAGAGGCGCAAGGAGGAAGAGCGACGGCTGATACACGAAGAGAAGACCAAAGTCAGAAAGGCCCAGTTGGAGCAGATCAAAGAGATCGCCAGGCTGGCGGCTGAAAAGGACAAGGCTCGAGCCCTGTCCAAGCAGGCTGAGGACAGCGACGACGAAATGGACGACGCCACCGACGATATTCTCCGCAGAAAACAGCTGGGCAAGATGAAACTGCCGGAGAAGGACCTTGAACTCGTGCTTCCAGATGAGCTGCAGGATTCTTTGAGATTACTGAAGCCTGAAGGCAATCTCCTCAAGGACCGGTATCGGAGTCTCCTGGTGAGAGGAAAGCTGGAGAGTCGCAGGAGGACGGTGAAGAAGCAGGCCCGGATGAAATCCACAGAGAAGTGGACTTACAAGGACTTTAGAATATAGGCCGGTTCCATCGGGGGCCCGGAATATGGCAAATGCCTCATATAGTTTATTTAAATACCATAGGCGCAAGACCCAAAGAAAGAAAATTTCGGATTTGAGGATCTGATAAGCATTATCTTTTATCATGGACCAACCAGCTTAGATAACGGATGGGCATCTGGGCATATGGATCAACCGCTGCCTCAAGTGTTTTCTGATTGTACATAATGCTTAAGTGACTCAGTTCGCCTCCTCGCGTCGCGAGATTTCCGTTCTCGTAAAAAGAAGCAGCCCCGGCTGCCGCATTCGCTAGCTTAACACAACACCAATTTGAGCTGACGGACCGTTTTAGGAGGCACCGGGCCACAAGATGTCCGGGAAGCCGATGCGAAGAGAACCGTGGCAAGCCGCAAGGGTTTGGTACAATCTAGTTTAGGCAAGGTTAAGATGTTATGTGGGCGCTGGGCACTTTCTGTTGCAATTCTTTTATAGGTAGGTTTATATGACTATACAAATTCTTCCAACCATCACCAAGCGACCACCTAGAGGGATGTAGTACTGCAATTGGTCTGAGAGGGTGTCACTGAGAGCAGCTGCTGATTGATAAACCTTTGCCATGTCCTCTGCCCTACTTTATCTTATCCGTACACTACAAAAAAACAGTGCATGTGTAAGCACCCTGGTCGTGCGAGTGGATCAATAAACAGCTTGGTTACGGCATCGATACCTGGGAAGGCCCGACAATGCTTTAGCTTATGACGCACTACTGCCCAGATCGACAAGAGTCGAGACAGCTCTGGGCACTTCTTTCTCGACTGGAAATACCTTCAGCGCGTAGCAAGACTTCTACCACCACCACCACAGCACACACCAATTGCTCTCATTTCCACATTTGCTCCAAATCAAAGTTTCAGTTTCTTCCCAAAAACTGTACGATATGCGGTCGCTCTAGTTGGAAACACGTTAACTTTTGGTCGTTTTTCTATTTTCTTTCAACACTCGACTGCCTCAATGCCTCCTCCTCAACCAGGAGCGATTGTGGCTCGCCTCCTGCGTAGCCAAGGCCAACAACAACCCACCTTCATCTTTGGTCCTCGATTCACCTCGCCCTTCCCGTCGCAGTCTGCCGCCAACAACAACAAGAACTTTGTCTTCTTCCAACAACAAGCTCGCCGCTTCACCCAGCCCACCAAGAGGCCTCACAGTCCCCAGCAACAACACGAAAATGCTACTCATGGGCTCTACCCTTCCAAGCTCGCCTCGAGGGAGCTGTCGGGTGCTCCCTTGCCTCAGCGCCGGTCCTTCCTCTTGAACTTTATGTACCGCTCTGCCGCCGTGGTCGGCACCGGTGTCGGTTTTGTCGGTTTCCTCTTTGCTGCCTTCTTTCTCTACGATGCGACTACCTACAAGGAATCCTCCGAATTTGGCGAATGTCGCGTTTCCGAATATGCTCTGAACCCTCGCACTGGTGGTCCCAAGAACCTCCCGATTGTTGACGCGCTACTTGACGACGATGATACAGAAGAAAAGGCTGCTCAGAAGACGAAGCCTCGGTTGGTGATTTTGGGCGGTGGCTGGGGAGGTGTTGCGCTCTTGAAACAGCTCAATCCCGACGATTACCATGTCACCGTCATTAGCCCGAAGAACTACTTTCTGTTTACGCCCATGCTGCCGTCTGCAACTGTGGGAACTCTAGAACTCCGAAGTCTGGTCGAACCGATCCGTCGTATTCTCTCAAGGCTTAGCGGTCACTACATACGCGCCGAAGCTCAAGATGTGGAATTCTCGCACAAATTGGTCGAATGCTCTACACTGGATGCTCACGGCAAGGAGATGAGGTTCTATGTGCCCTATGATAAATTGGTCATTGCCGTTGGATCCGTGACAAACCCTCACGGTGTCAAGGGCCTGGAGAACTGCCACTTCCTTAAGGATATCAACGATGCCAGAATGATTCGCAACCAGGTTATGAAGAACCTCGAACTCGCATGTTTGCCCACTACGTCGGATACCGAGCGCAGACGTCTACTGTCCTTTGTGGTCAGTGGCGGTGGCCCGACTGGCGTTGAGTTTGCTGCCGAGCTGTTCGATCTTTTGAACGAGGATCTGAGCATCAAATTCCCCAAGTTGTTGAGAAACGAGATCTCGGTCCACCTCATTCAGAGCCGCAGCCACATTTTGAACACCTACGATGAAGCACTCTCCAAATATGCCGAGGATCGATTTTCTCGCGACCAGGTCGATGTGCTCACCAACTCTCGCGTGCAAGAGGTCCGACCTGATAGGATCATCTTCAGCCAAAAGAATGAGAATGGAGACCTTGTGACAAAGGAGCTGCCAATGGGGTTCTGTTTGTGGTCTACCGGTGTATCGCAGGCCGAGTTTTGCCGAAAGATTGCACAGAAGCTGGGCGATGCTCAGAACAACCGCCACGCTCTGGAGACTGACACTCATCTTCGCGTTGCTGGTACCCCCCTTGGAGACGTCTACGCGATTGGCGACTGCTCGACAGTCCAGAACAACATTGCCGACAACATTGTCACCTTTTTGCGTGGTCTCGCGTTCAAGCACGGAAAGGACCCGGAAAACCTCGAGCTTCACTTCCAAGACTGGCGTAATGTCGCTGCGGATGTCAAGCGTCGTTTCCCTCAAGCCTCTGCCCACCTTAAGCGTGTTGACAAGCTCTTTGGCCAGTTTGACAAGGACCAGTCTGGAACTTTGGACTTTGGCGAGCTCAGAGAGCTTCTCGGACAGATTGACAGCAAGCTCACCTCGCTGCCTGCTACGGCCCAACGAGCCAACCAGCAAGGTATCTACTTGGCCAAGAAATTCAACAAGCTAGCCTCAGCAGCTTCGGCGCTCAGCGCCAACGACATCCGCGATGGTGACCTCGATGAGGCTGTTTACAATGCCTTTGAATACCACCACCTTGGTGCCCTTGCATACGTCGGAAATTCTGCTGTCTTTGACCTTGGCGGTGGTTGGGGTCTGACTGGAGGTGTATGGGCAGTATATGCCTGGAGAAGTGCTTATTTTGCGCAGAGTGTGGGTGTTAGAACCAAGTTCCTCATGATGATGGATTGGATGAAGAGAGGTCTTTTCGGACGAGGTATGAAAACACTCCCCAGATCCCCTATTATAAGAATCGATGCTAACTCGTGGTGTGCAGACCTGGTCAGTTTTTAAAAAATTTACTAGACACGCATGCAAATGCTTGGCGGCATTTTGTAATCTTCAAAAGATGAATGGCGTTGGCGTTCAAGGGTATCGTCGTATGCTGGATGCCACGGCGTACAAGGTGCAAAATATAACAGAAAGAAGAGTTCACTTTGTATATAGAACATGGATATCCCCACGAAATGACGACCCAAATGTAATTTGCTTGGAACAAGCTCAGATATTCTGATTTTTACAATTAAAAAGTATGCTCGTATCGGTACAAAGCCTTAAAATAACGCCAGAGCATTTGGCGGCGATGCTACGAGGCCCGATATATTGAGAGGAACTGAAGTAAGCAGGAATGAGTACCGACCAATCTTGGCGCAGTGTTCTCCTAATGCTTTCAGGTTCCACAACTCGCCAATATTCAGACCAAACATGTTTAGAAAATATTTATGCAACACTGCGAATGGCATCGATTAGCACTTCAACTGTGGAGTGCACATTTGACAAGGACCTACCAAGATCTCCAAAGCCCCCAATAGTTCCATCGGGCTTCTGTGGAGGAAATACCTCAAAGGCGAATGTATCACTGGCGACAGCGGCGAAGTGCTTGTTCCAGAACCACTATATACACCAGTCAGCTCGTTACCGCTACATGTGCGGGCAAGTTTTCAACAACAAACTCAAGCTTACCTTGGCAGCTTGCTCATTTCCCTCAACACCCACCATGGCGCCTTGGCCTTTGACCATCAACTCGGTCTGCTGCTCGCCCGTGAGGCCCTCGAAAGCCTCGGCCACACCCGCCCGGACGAGCAAGACATCGCCCGTCCTCAGCTCCGTGCCCTGGGCCGCGGCGACCTTTTCGAGATCCTCAATCGTGATGACATGTCTCGACATGGCATCGTAGGTGATACCCCGGGCCTGCGCATACGCATAGTAATCCAGCAAGACGCCGCGGCCCACTACGCCGCCGCGCGCGTGCCAGTGCTCGAGGCCCGGGAGGCGGCGGGCCCGGTCCGGATCCGCCAGGGCCTGCTTGCTGGCGGCGGCGCCGTTATACGTCAGACCGCCGGCGGGCGCGTGGCCGACGTGGCAGAAGCCGTCCCACTGCGAGCTGGCCTGCGTGTTGAAGCTGACCTCGTCGTCGTGCACGACCAGGCCCGCGCACGCCTCGGGCGCAATGTCCTCGGCCCACGAGAGCACGCGGTGCGTCGTCGGGGCCCGCGGCCCGCCCGCCGCCTTGATCAGGTCCAGCGAGGCGTTGAGCGAGATGGAGACGCCGTCCCGGGCTTCCGTGTACGCGGCCCGGATGCGCTCCGGCGTCAGCAGGTTGAGGCAGCCGAGGGTGTCCTTTTCGCCGTCCTTGTCGCTGTAGGTTTCACAAGAAAGAATGAATGTCAGCCTTGGCTTGTACTTTTGGCTTGTCCTCGGAATGGCTGACTTCTTTTTGGGGGATGGGAATCTTGTTGCCTGATCACGGGCTTTCTACTCACAATACACCCCAAGCGCAACCCTTGGGCATGCCCTCGACAGCGGGAAGAGAGTCAAAGTCGGGTAAATTGCTCAAGTCTGCCGTCATCTTGCCTTGTGATACGCTGAGCGATACTGTCAAGATGAATTTGTGTTCTATACAAAGCAGGAGCCAAGAAACGAGTCGATCTTATACTACGTTATGCCAAGTCAGCGCCATCTCACGATAATGTGCTGCCTAATGGGCTTTCGGCTTTTATGGCGGCTTTTAGACTACAGTAGCGTCTCGTGGTATCAGATCATCATATGTATAAATAGTGCTACCAATATACAATTGTGGGGCATATCGTATACATGATCCAAGCATAACTGCATTTTCAAGGTCACTTTGACCCTTTCGGTATGCTTAGACTTATCACATGGAAACATGTACAACTCAGTGTAAATAAAGAGGAAAACTAGGTTGTGTGATCAGAACAGCACCCAGACTTTGAATTTCCTGAGTATGTGTTATTCTGTATTCGCAAATGGTGAACGTGAGAATGCATTATCAAGAGTTATCTTGGCATTTCATTTCAAAACCTTTATGTGCAATTCTATCCACAAATCCATGCAAATATTTTTGCCCAAGATAATCGAAAAAGGAATAGTGTCAATTCTGGCTTTGATATCTTGGCCCCTTGTTCCTATAGGCCCCTTCCAGTCTGGCAGAGCACTGATGATGGAGGAGCACTATTGAGAATAATCTGACATGTCCATAGTGATATTGAAATGTATCTCGGGCCATGTACCTTCGAAGAGGCTGCTTCTATCACTATCAACAAATGGTAACAGTCGATGAAGGTTTGCAGCCGACGACGTCTGGTGAAATGTTATCGACGTACAAACCAGGATTAGGTCTCAATACAGAAAGTCTGTCCTTGGATAAGTTATTTACTCGTTCAAACAAGGCAAACATCAGGATGTGAGCTTTCAAGGAAGTCAAAAAGGAGAGGGAAAGAGATTGGACAAGACCGCCTATTAACAGGAACCCAAAAAGGGAAAACGAAAAAGAAAAAGCCGAAAGCACGTACCGGAAAGAAAAAAAAACAGTGAAAAGAGAAAGAAAAAAAAATACCGTCTCATAACTTCCAAACCATTGAGTCATCATGACACTTGCCAAGTCTTTCTGAATGCAAAGCTTTATAATCACGGACGGTCTTGCAAGCTGCCAACTGTACCGTGCTGCCACAGTGATCTTGCTGTTTGTTGAATGAGCACAGAGTTTGTTGCCAATCATTAGATCTCCTGCAGACGCGGGTCCTCCCCATGACAAACAGCACAAGGTATGCCGACAAGGGAATATCAAAAGGACCATCTGTTCAATCTCAGGGCAAGGCACTCTTTTTTTTTTTCTTTTTTTTTTTTTGGTCTTAGACTGCTCCTTTGTCCTTGTTTTTAATTCACAAATCTGTAGAGATATGATCTATCTCTTCTATTTCTCCCTTCAGGAAGAAAGAAGGAGACAAGAAATAATGACAAAGTAGAAATCAAGCAGACAGGGTCCAAGGAAAAAAAAGGGGAGGAAAAAAAAAAGCCCTAGCTCAGACTATGTAGTTTATATCATGTTGTCAATCAACTCTTCTAGTTATGTGTCATCATTGTGTAGAGCTGCGTGCTAACCACTTGGCCGTCACGCACGATTTCGTGATTGTTCTGTGTTTGAAAGCATTAATATGCCCTCTACTTGCAGCTCAAGCTTGCTACCATCATACGGATCTGAAGCAGAGAGTCGTACGTTGCAGTAATGCATCGTCGTTGTCGTCGTCGGAGTAGCAGCATCTTTTGTGTGCTTCTCTGCACTTGTCATCACCTCCGGGTAGCCGTTTGTCTTGGGAGACGGGCCATAAACCCTGCCCTAGACGTGAAGTAGTTCTTATCTTACACGGCTTTTTTGGAGCAAAGTTCATTCATCTTGATTGAATATATGGCTGATGTGAATGGAGATTGTCTCCTCCTCATGGCTAGCCATCGATTCCTCACGCCTCGTGTCACAAACGATAGTAAAGATGTCATTCCTTGCAAACATAAATTTGATACTGGACAAATCTTCGGGTGAGCCAATATGATATTGAGAGCTGGTATCAAAGATGTATTCCTTTATCATATTCGTCAAACTCTTACATTTGTAGACCAAGTTTCGAAGTAGGCAGGTCCTTTGTTACAGAGTAGATGTTGGCATCAACACACGAAGTATGATGACATATATTGTGTAATATTGAATTGGATCCGGTACGCCATTTATTTTTTTTTATTTTTTTTTTTACTAGCCAGTCCTTCGGAATATTAACGCGATGATACGAGTATCCATGTTTACCATCGATAAAGAGAATATAAGTTCTACAATACACCAAAGGCGAGACACGGCTCTCTTTTTGCAGTCCACTCTTGTACTGGACAAGTTCGTGCACAAGGTCAATTTCCTCGACCAAGCCGCACAGGAATACTTGAGATAAAAGGCAGACCGAACGGTATTATGTCATCTTGCCCAGCAAGGACACAAATGGAGAGACACTCAAAAGGCACGAGACACCTGATGGCCAGCTTTCATCTTCGTATGTTGTATGTGCTTACCGGAGAGACGAGCACTTTACAGTTTGTAAGAACCATTGAGGCAAAAACAATCATCACGACGTCTCCTTTGCCAGCAAGTCCTGAACCCTCTTCACCTTGTCTTGGGCGGATTGCTTCTTATCCGTTCTGGAGTAGGTTAGTAGACGAAGTGCCTGGACTGTATTCTATGCAGTCAAAGTGTATGCTTACCGAGTGCCTACTCTCATGCTGGACTGCACCCGGACTACGCCCTTTTGGTGGACCAAACTGTGTGCTTGTCCGATGACACGGAATACATCATCCCATGAGCCCTCTGGAACACCAAACTGCGTCAGTATACAATTTATATACATAAAAAAAAAACATCCATGTTGATAATTGGGGGATCAACAAATACGACTTACCAACCGTCGTGCCAGCAGAGTGCATAGTATACTGCAAGCCACTGTCCTTCAACAGCTTCTGGACCTCGGCGATCTCCTCTGCGACTGAGACGCTTCCCGTGCCGACCTATCCACAAAACAAGACCACGAATCAGTCAAGGCAATACTTTAATGTCAATTTACCAAGGTACGCTAATATGCCCTCCCCCCGGTCTTCAGAACGGGAGACGTGCATATTATATCTCCTTATCCTCTGATTCATCTCCATATCCCCACCAGGGTCAAAATGGCCGATAACAACCAAGCAAAGACCAATGGTACTTTGTGTTGAAGAAAGGCAAAAAAAAAAAAAAAAAAGGGACCCAATTTACAGGTATGAGACAAAAGTCGGCATAGCACCTCTCGGGGGTCTTGATGGTGCTGTAATCCATGCTGGCAATGACAAAGCTCGTACGGTATCGATGGACCCTGGAGATAGCTGGACGGACCAAGGGGCGGAATACCGGCAGCAGCATGTGGTTCATATGCCCCCTCCCTTGCTCTTCTGGGGAAACAAACGTTGGTCGTTGCGTGGACTTTTTTTCTGAAATTGGCCTTTCTCTTTTTCAATCAAGTTAGGAGCCTAGGTGGGGAAATCCCTCGTACTCTCCGAAATCCCAATGCAATGGTCGACAGGTAATGGTTCTGGTGGTGTGCAGAAGTCACCGAAATGACGAGATAATAGATTCACTGTAAAAGATAGGAGAAATTGGCTTGCGCGATATCATGTAGCGGGCGACTCTCCGGGGCTTGTTACAAAGTCGCCGGATGTGGTGAGGCGAAATATCGAGAAAGGGATTACCTAAGAAGAGATTAGATCAAGTGACACTATTAGGTGGAGATCAATGGTCGTTTCCTCCTCCAAAAAAGCTGCCCCAGTTTTGCAGGCTACCGGTAGGTAGGTAAATAGGTACTTACGTAGGGTGCACGCGGCTTCTTCATTTCATTACCATCGTGCCATGGGTGAGTACGTGTTAACCCCCCCGTCCCAAGAGCGCCATAGATCCTGCAAAGTGCCGCTTCCATCTCCGTGTCAGAATCATAGATACGCACGATCAAATCATGCTGTCGTTCCTGGGACAACTGTATTCATGATCTTGAAGGCCCCGAGTCTGTACCTGTACCGGCCTGGGCAATCGGCATGGCAGGCTTTTACCGGATTAGAGGTGTTAGCGTTAATCTCAGATTCTATACTTACCCATTCCCTGAGTGATTTCCAAGGTCAAATATATACTCAAGTCTTGACAAGTTCACAAACATCATAAAGTGAAAAGCTCCAAGCTTGACGGAATATGCCTCATCTGTTTTCGATTGGCTAAACTATCTATGCACTTATATAATATGCAAAATGTTTTTTTTTGGGCCCCCAGAGAATGAAGGGAAAAAGAAGAGTGCCCTTGATGAGAGAATGCAGTCATAACTTGACCGCGGCGTCATGATGAACCAGCCTGATTTCCGACCTTGACGCAATTTTCGGTCTTGTCACAAGCATCCCAAATGCAACAAAAAAAAATAATAAGAGTTTCGCAAAACGCCATCGCTATATGCCCTTAAACAAGTTTTTTCGCCAACCTCACGGAATGTACTGTATGATTGATGCCTGCCCTATTTTGATATCTTAAGCAAGTAGAGCAGCCATGACCACTGCGGCCAGTAGAGCTGCAAACGATCTGTGTCCGATGCGATCCGCATCACTTGTCGAGCTACTGCCGTCTGCAGAAGTGCTGTTGGAGCGTCCCGAAGCAGTAATGCCGTTTAGGCTGTCGCCCGTCTCAATGGCGGGTCCCTTGTTGAAGAAGTCAACCAGCATGAAAGTCGGCTTTTGTCCATACTCGGACTTGCAAGTCTGAGCATGCAAGCCAAGAGCGCCGGTGGTGCTGGTAGAAGGGCTGTTGGTCGTGTCAATGTCGCTGGCATCGGGGATCTCGTAGCTCGCGACGACAGTGTAGGCAAAATGGTTGACGAGAGGTAGCATGCCAGCTGAAATGGCCGAGGAAGCCGAGCTGTACGTCGAGGGACGATCAATGGTGCAGTTGAAGCCCGAAAGCGAAGTGACTTCGTATGCAGTCTCAAAGACATAGTCCCACTCGTTGAGCAGGTAAGAGTAATCAGAGTCGTAAGTGTAGGATGCGATGAAAGTAACCAGGCGGGTGTTTGCGTTGATCATGTCCTGGAGTGTAGGCCAAGTGACTGAGCTCGAGTCGGTACCGGTCGGTGTATATCCGTACTTGTCAATACCAGAGGCTTCAAAGACTGGGCCAAAGTCGGTGCCGTTGAAGCTGTCCGAGTTGACAATGAGAAGTGTCACAACGTCGTCCGCGTTGTTGTCCATCCACGACTTGATTGCCTCGAGGAAACTCTGCAGTGTGCCGGCATCAAGGAGACTGCATGTGGTATGGCACAACTCAATGGTACCATTGGAATCGTGGGCCTGAACTGTCAAGAGGCGCAAGCCATTGTTTAATGCGTACGTAGCGTTGTAATATTGTGTTCCGGCAATCGAGTTGTCGGTGCTGTCATCTCGCACAAAGGAGGAATCGTGGGCTCCCATGTGTGTGATATTGTCATATGTTCGTGAACAGAGGTCGTGCGAGCCATTGCAGGCTACATCATCAGCCAGAGCTGCGGATGTCGAGGTTGCCGTCGAAGCTGCGACAGCCGAGGCAGATGTCGCCGATGTGGAGGATCCATAGTATTCGCTGGTGGTTTGGCTACCACTCTCACCACCGCTTTCGCTGCCGCCTTGACTGCCGCTTCCGGATTGACCACTGCTGCCACTCGATGAACCTTGGCCACTGCTGCCACCCCAACCCTGTGGAGATGCGTAGGCTGTTGCTGACAGCGCAGCGGCAACCGTCCTATAAAAGTATATTAGTTTCTAGCTTATTTCAATTGAGAGATGTGGAAAGAAGATGACTATATAATATGTGATCCTTTATAAATCTTTGTGAATACTTACAAGAATTTGGATATCGACGGAAGCATTTTGGATGTATAGGTATATAAAACTGAAACAAACTCAAAAGGGAGATGAACACTCCTCCTATAAGCTCAGCGAGTGTGGATAGGCTGGCTTATGGTAGCCGAGCACTGTATTCGTAACAGGGAAGCGATTGATATAGTTGCAGTGTGGTTCTTTGACACGATGCACTGAAATGTCAAAAGAGTGTAAAAGGAAAACCGAAATAGACCAGAAACTGTAGGCAGACAGAGAAACAAATGTCTGCTAGAAATAATAAATCCCGAGTGGTAAGAAATTACCTACCTCCTGGGGCGGAGGGCACCCTCATCTGATATAATACCATTTTTGCCCCATCCAAATCCTGCGCCGAACAATCATTGACTAAAAAGCTTTTAGGAGGGTCCGCATGAAGAAGAGAGAAGGATGGTGGCTGCAAGAGCCGCACGTCTCGCTCTGCTGTCGCGGCACTACCCAAAAAGGCGTGCTGAGGTGCTGGTTGGCTGCTGGGGGTGTGGGATGGTGATTGATGCTGCTGGGCTCAGCTGTTTTAGTGACCCCATCTACCCAATCTGGGCCCCCCTTGCCCGTGGGGCTACACAGTCCAGCCAAATCAGCTTCGCCGCCCTAGCAGCTTAATCATGGAGGCTGAGTCCCTGCGGCGACGTCAGCAGCGAGGTTTCAGAGTCGCTGGACGCGCGGTTTCCACCAAATGGCCCTTTGAATTTGCTAGTAGTCGTCTTGCTCTTGCGACGGCCTAGGGAAAGAAAGAAAGAATGGAATAAAATACATTAGCACGAGGCGCCTCGACAGGCTCAAGTCAGTGCCTTTCTATCCGGCAGGGGCACGAGAAAGAGCACTTCCCAATTTGCAGTCAACGGAACATTGCGGGTTTCCCATGCCTTGTTTCATTATATGGTTGTCAGTTGTCGCAAGACATCCGATGCTGGAGTCATCGTCGAAGCCTCCTAGGGCTCTGTTTTGCTGGCATTGATCTGAAAACTGAGTGTAGGTTGTTAGTGGTCCCTTCCAATTGTGTGGTCAGCTTCCATTGACGCGTCGCTCTCATACGATAACCCTTTTTGCCTTTGTCGCAGAAAACCCTATGACTCGGGAGAAACCGTAGACACCCAATAAACTGGTCTCTTGTGCTGCCTTACGTGTATTATGGTCAATAGTGTACAAAGTGACGCGAATAGTAAGCCCCGGAGAAAAAAAAAATCATTCAAGGGGGTGATCTGCACCGGGCCAACCTTCGCCTTTCTTTGAATACTACCTACAAATCCGACTAGCGCTAAACTACCCGATCTCTCTATTCCCGGGCAACGGGACTGTCACAGGCTGACGGCTATATTCGCTGATGTGGTCAATGTATGATCGCTGCCGGTGCTAAAGGTGTTCATGGTCTGGAGACAAACGACAACAAACTCGGCCCCTTGGTCTACGGCCCCTTCTTTCGAACTTGTTAGGATTGGAAATGTTGAGATTTCATTAAAGACATGAGACCAGCCTGAGCAGTGACAGGCTGACAGGTGGGCGAGTATTTTGCACTGCCAACTGATCGCCTGGCTGTCAGCCCAGCGAACAGAGAGAGAAAACAGGGGCATCGTGCATATTTGATGAGGCTGGCCACCTTAGCTAGGTACTGGCCAGCAGTGACAAGCGAGAAACACTACCTTGGCCTGTTCTCTCGTATTAAGCATGTATTTTGTGGAAACTTGACCTCAGCAGCCTGAGAAATAGCGGCCAGTTCAATAGGCAACTGCTGTTCTTCAAAAGATCGCTCGCTGCATTTGGTATCATTGGTGCCATCGCGCAGTTACAGCCATCCAAGGAGGAAGGGGAAAAAAGGGTCCATCCCCACCTTTAATACTGAGCCAACTGCCGGCAAGGAAGAGGGAAAACGGAAGGAGGTTGGAGAGGATTAAGATAAACGTCGATCTTCAGGGTCCAGATTGGGACTGGAAAACAACGAGGGTGGCTATAAGGGTGAAGCAGGTTGGCAGGCCAGTTGGCAAGGCGTTGTAAGTTCAGTGCTCCATGATCGTGTTCAGCAATTGACATCACAATCGTGTTTTGCCAAATCCCGATCATCGCCTTGTGTAGATCTCACAAAGTCGATGTGACGCTATGCAGATGAAAATAGTAACATATGTGTAACACGTAAAACCGCCACGGCGAGGTATCCACCCCTTTCTGTTGCCCCCCTAAAAGTCACCTCAACCCACTTTCGCATACTTCTGCAACTGTATTTCATCATAATTGAAATACCCTAAACCAAACAAAACGAAACAAAAGCAAAATGCAATCCAAACAGTGGCATACAAGGTATATACCGACTTCGTGTTCCTTTATACTATATGAACAGTTTATCTATATATCTATTGTGGGATCTGCTGCAATCTTCATCTCATAGCGTTTTGGAGAAGCACGAACTCAAATGTACATGGAGCAAGTTACCATGAAATCGCCAGTGGTGTTGCCGAAGACGTTCTCTTTGCTATTGCTGAAGAGACTGTTATAATATATGCTTGGTTTGCTGCTCAGCATTCTTGACTGCCGTGATCACGCTCCCATGACTCACTGCTATACAAATAGCATACTTGGCGTATACAATGTTCTTACTAGATATCCATATTTCTGTATGAGGCATCATACCTCTACACGGCCCCTAGGGCGATTATTCTGGGTCATCCGCATACGACGAAGACTCCAGTGCTGCTTGCTTTTCCATCTCCTTGAGGTGCTTCTGTCCCTCTTCAGTCGTGGCGTCAATGATCTCCTCTTCCAAGCTCAGGACGTTGGCCTGCATTCAAAGTTAGCTTCATATTCACAACTCCAGGACCGCTTTTTGACATACCTCGCCCAGCAAGCCAACCAAGGCTTCAGCCTCGGCAACCTTCATCTTGCCCAGGACTTCATTGACCTTATCTAGGCTTCCCGTCTCTAGTGCCTTCTTCACGTCCGGCTTGAATGAGTCAAAGATCTCTCGGCATTTCTTCTCTTCGGGGTCTTCGCTGTTCTCCGGAGGAACCTTGATGTTGATGACCGTGCCTGGCTCGACTGCATGCAGCTGGATCTGTTCCCTTTCCTCATCATTACCACCTGCGGCGCGCTCGGCGTTGATCTCTCTGCACCGGTTCTTGATTCGCATGTACGTGTCCTGAACGTCCTTGAAAAAGACGTCCTGAGCATTGTGCCCCTTGGTTGTAATACGCTTGAAAAAGAGCGCAACACCGTCCTTGCCCAGAGCGCGACAGTACTGCAGTAGCAAGGCCTGGTGTACGCAGTTGCGAGCAAAGTCATCACGGCCTTCCAGCTGGGCGTCGAACGCTAGCATAAGAATGCCGTCCTGCTCCTTTTCCGAGAGGATCTTGGGATGAGACGAAATGAAGTTATTACTCTCCCGATAGTCGGTTGACTTGATCTTGGCGAAAGCCTGGGCATCTGAGCTTGCCTGGACCTCTTCATCGTCGTCTCTCGGCTCGGCCTCGCTGAGTGAATTCGGGTTGTTGATGTCAAAGTTTGGGTTGAGGAGCTCAACCTTTTCTTCCTTTTTTGTTCCTGCCTCTTCGGGCGTTGACTTTGTGATATGCGAGGAGTCAAAGCCAGTTCGGTAGCTGTCGCTCGTGATCTTGCCTGCGTCTGCCTTCTCTAGCTCCGCAAGCTTGACATAGAGCTGCTTCTGTAAATCCTCGACCTTGGCCAGGTGGTCGCCAATCTCCTCTATCATGGCTTGGTAGCGGTTGTCTGGCTTCTTCTCGTCCAGTGCCTTGTTGACCTGATCTAGCAGCGTTGCCATCATCTTTGTATACGTGGGTGGATTCTCAACCTCGCTGTGCACGCCTTCGGGTCGCTTTGGGGGCTTGTCCTCAGCCTCGCTGCTCGGAGCAGACTCCATGACGGCCTGGAAGGCCACTTCGGCCGGGTTCCGCGTCTCAGCTTCAGAAGCATGGTTCTTGAGGGAGTTTAGGAGGCCGCTGATCCGCTTGATCAGGCCATCGTTGATCTGGCGCTCGTACTTGAGCGTCTCAATGTGAAGCTTGCGCTGCTGGCGCTCGGCGTGGATCTGATTCTGTTTGGCACGGATGAAGGAGCGCTTGTCGACGTTGGGGTGAACCTCGACATCAGAGTCGTCGCTGAGCTCGAGCGCGTCCTATACTCGGGAGAAAGACGTGTCAGTACAGACCAAGTAAATACATTAGTTTGAACAGCGAGGACAACCCACCCATTTGCTGTAGTCGACAGGCATTTTGCAGGAAAGCTGAAAGCTGAATGCTCAAAGCGTCGTCTTTTGCGTATACTGATCACACACAATGACCTGGAAGGTGATTTGGCTTGTATGAGTTTTTTGGGTATGTTTTGGATTATTCCCAAGCTATGCTAGGATCCAGCAATGTAGTTGGGCAGATTGGTAGTAGGTAGGTGCTCCCACCTGGACCAAGCAGCAGCTCTTTCTGAGATGTCAAGCTCAGAAGACGATGGAACCAAGTAGAATGAAACAGCACCGCTGCAGCCCCAAGACTGCTGCAATTTAGGTAATTATCAAGGGTTCGACTGATTGGAACTGTGTTACTGTCAACAGTCTAGGTACTGGAAATAACAGGTATCTATCATGCAACAGATGCAATATTACAATGTCTTTGCTTGTGAGGCAGAATGCGGGGTGACGGAATGCCCCGCGTCGTGTTTAGGTAGACTTGCTGGTGGGCACGCTGCTTGTTGCCTGTATCAATTTCCGAGTCCAAGTAATTCGGAGCCAAGACTCGGGCCATGTTTACATTTGGATATACCCTCGTCTTTTCTTTTCTTTTATCTATCCATACATTGTCTTAAGCACACCTAAATAGGTCGCTTGATGGTCTCACAATTATGCTCAAGCTTTTCCTGCCAAACACCATGACACAAGTGCCTCGAGCCAAAATTCAATGATGAGGTGATTCCCGTTGTTGTAGTATATCCATTTGACGCTGCTGCACCACCACCATGCATCCCAAGTCATATCATCGTGGCCCAAGAAGAGTCGCCGAGACTATCGAAAGTTGATGGTAGACCATTTTGGCTCCAGTCGCACACGCCCAAGGGATGGGGGTTCTGTATAGATATGCCAAAGTCATTGGCGTACAAACCGCATCAAAACCACTCTATATCCATAGAGTCGTAAGACTGGCCTTGGTAATACTAGCCCCTGACAGTCTGCTTCTTTTGAGCTTTGCGCATCTGCTTGTCCTTCTCCTTGTCCAAATACTTCTTCTGAGCCTTGGCGTCCAAAGCATTGAGCTCAGCATCTCGCTTGGCCTTCCTGGTCTTCTCGCGCTCAATTGCCCGCTCCTCGGCCTTCTCATCTTCTGAGAGCTTCTGGATCTGTTTGATTGTCTCATCACGAATATTCTTGACCTTGCGGAGAACCTCAGGGCGGAAATGACCCGAGGCAGCCAGGTGATCAGGGAGGCGCACGAATACGTTGAATAGGGGCAACAGGTTGTCGTAGTTGTTGTCGGAGGGGAGTCTGTAACGAAGGAAGAGTCGCTTGCGGGGTGCAGTTTCCTCGACCCTGGTTGGCTTGTCAAGGGGCTGGTCACTAATGATCAAAGCCTCGAACAGATCGCCAGCCTTCTCGATCGCGGCAGCCAAGTCTTTGGTGAGCAAGGCATCGGTGATCTCAGCGCTCTCGCTCATGCAAGTCACCCAAATGGGCAGCTTTGAGTTATCCTTGGTGAAAGTGATGGAGAGGTCGTAACGCTCGTCGCGCAGCTGCTTCATGTTGTCCTTGTTGACGAGAGCCCAAACAAAGTTGTCGTAGCCGCTCTTTGCATCCTTGGTTCGGAGCTCGGCAGCGCCAGGCAGGTTGGGGACAATGGCCGACTCCTTGCCATCAAAGGGGTAGATGGTAGCCTCGAGCGAGTCAACAGGAGAGCCGAAGCTGTCGAAGAAGAAGCCCAAGACGGTCTCGACAGAGGTCATGATGGGGTTGAAGCGCTTCTTTAGAGTCAAGGCGACGTCCATGAACGCAACATTCTGTCGGCCGGTAGCATAAGTCGCATACTCGAACAAGCTCTTCTGTTTCAAGAGCTTCTCGGGCTGCTGCTGCTCGACGTTGGGAACACCACCGAACCCTACCAGCGCGAACTCGTTCTCGAGCGTCGGGGCGTGCGCCTTGATCCATGCTCTCGACTTTGCCTTGTTGAGCTTGGTGCCGATGAAGTGCAGAGTAAAGATGACGGCAATGACAGCCAATATCACACCCTCGGCCTTGAACTCGGAGAGGCTGTGGCGCTCATGGACGTTGTACCACTTTGTATACGGACGATCCGTAACGGCAGGTCCATTGCCATTGAGAGTCGCGCCTCCGGGGGGTTTCTCAAACGGAATCGGGGCGGGGGAGGGAGCTTCGGCAAAGTCTGCGAAGTCTGCCGGATGTCAGCGGCACAGCTCATATCCATAGGGGGTGGGTTATCTTTGGTAATGGCCTCAACGGGACGGCTTTCGCCCAACGCTCCAGGACATTGGAAATGATGGAAAGTAGTTGAAATTAAACCACCAGGCCTCTGTGACTCAGGCCTTGATAAGGGTCATTGACTACTTGCTGGCTTTCCAATGCCTGAGAACGAGTGCGTCGCAGGCCTGAGCGTCATCTAGCGATCCGGAGAGGGAAGCGCACACGCCAGTACTACTGCGCCGCAGAGCACGCATAGGAGAAGGGGGAGTCGGGACAGAGAGATTACGTACCTGCGTCTGCCGAGGGCACCGGCTCCTCTGACTTGGCACCACCAATGATGTTCTTGAGAAAGTCGGCCATGATGATTGTCTCGGCTGGCGCGCGCGCTGTGTTGAGACACGACGACAGAGGAGTGAGGATAAGGGAGCTGGGGGAGCTGGGGGAGCTGCTTGTTGGGATGGTTCCAATTGAGCTCTCTCTCCAAAGTTCGGAAAAGGGTTCAGGAATTGGCCAATGCACCTCCACTTTTTAGTGCGCGACGCGGAAGACGCCGACCAGCTTCTAGAACCATTACCTAAGGTGATTTTTTCCTCTTACATATACCGTACATCCATGAGCCGCTGTCACACTGGAATTAGACTGCAACCTTGCATTCACTCATTACCAGAATCGTACAGTGCATCCACTGAAAATGGCTCGACAAAGAGAATAGATTTTGAATAATCCTGCGTTATAGACCCTGCAGCTTAACAACCAACACATGGAAGTACTCTGGAATAGCATCTAGGAGGCCATACCTCTTTATATAATATATATATCTCTCTCTTTCTCTTTTTTTTTTTCCTTCTTAAAAAAAGGAGGAGTGGCCCTATTTCTATTATAGTAATATCTTCTTGATTTCAAGTGTTGCATTGTCTTTGGTTTTGGGCATATTAGCCGAGAAGACGCATAATGAGGTTTGATATAATCAGTGACTTTGTGTAAGAGCAAATTTCGACAGTTTACTCGTAGTTATCCTTGTAGAACTAGTCTATGATTATACATCCATTGAAACTTATCGAGGTCCAATCCAAGACTTGGCAATCTTGAACAGACACAAATTATTTATGTCTCAAAGCAAACACACATTAGTCTGGTGTTATGACGGAGTGTGCCTACGGATTATTCACATCACTTTAGACAGAACTCGATGGAATTGTTTTTCTTTTCCGGCATCTCAAGCAACGATGGGCACAAACTCCTGACGCCACAGATAAACGAGCCATATCGTGCCTACTGACACAAATTTCATTACCAAATGAATAACAGAGGCCAAAACACAGACAGTGGATTGATGGACTTGTTGTTGGATGAATTGTTGTCGATTTGCATGTGATTCACTCAGAATGTTCAAAATACACAGTCAATGCTTCTAACATATTGACCAGACATGTGCACAAAACGGCATCCATAATGAACTCAAAAAATGCTGGCGTTGCCTTATTCTTCTTTGTCGTTTCAGAGGGATATTTGTATTTGGCCTTCATCATTTCCTTGAAGTGTATCATAGTAAATGGTCATAAGCTAATCACGGACCTTTACCAACATAAGCGAATGCAAAGATCTTGAACTGCTTGTTAATACCGCTCTTGCCTGTACGAAGAGAATAACGCTGGTCTTGCCATTTCTTTGTTCCCAGCCCTACCAGAAGTCGCAAACCAGCGAGCATTATTAACAACACGTCCATTCTTTGTCTCAGAGTAGTACCTTTCAGCCGTCCAACGGACCTGTTTGTTTGTATGCTGGCATAGCTGCTCGATAATACTTTGTACCTCATATAAGCAATTGCCTACACGACTGCATTTGCCGTCAATGTCCTTTCCGCATTCTCTATTAACATTGTAGATTTCTCTATCATTATCACTCACCTAGTAGTACATAAACAGCTTTAGTCTTTCTTTGTGTTACCACCCAGTGCTTGGCAACCATGAGCGCTCTCGAACGTTTCGCTAGGAGAAACTACAGCACCAGGACACGCCGAGAAGGACTCCCGGCAAAGCCAAGACCATCGCCGCTCCGAGCCGTTGAAGATGACTCCTCACGTCCGTCGATTTTCGGGCGACCCAAGGACATAATCATGAACCAGGTAAAGTAACACAAGAAAACAATAATCGGGGAGGGCGGGCTGAGGTCTCCAAAAAAAACCACCGAGCCAATTAAACTGACACAAGTAATCTAGCTCTTGACCCCAACAATACGGCACTTTAGCTTTGATGGGACGGGACTTCCTTTCTCGCGAAAGTCACCGTCGCCGAGAAGTAAGATTATTCCCCTCTCCCCCTCCCTTTCTCCCCCCGATGTGCTAACTAAATGCTAACCGATTTCCCTGCAGCACAGTCGACCGAGTCGCTCCAATCCGACGACTCTGGAGATGATGTCTGGGATAAGGCGGCACTGCTCAAGCTGTCCGACTCTGTGCGGGCATCAATCCGACACGATGAGTCCCTGGGTCCGGATGCAAGCAAGCTGAGTGCCTTTTTGGAAGCCATCATCCGGGATGAAGAGCGCAAGCATCCGACCATGAACTTCGAAACTATCGAATATGCACGCCTGGACAAGCTGCTAGAGGAACTTTTGCATTTTTCCGGGCTGATGAAGGCAGCAAGCCATACCGTCGAGCTGCCTCTACGATTCAGAGTTGACATTGCGCACTCTAAGAAGTTGCGCGTCTTGTGGAGGCATCGCTTCCGCGAGCAGTATGTCATGATTGATCAGCTACGATGTGCAGTCATGGTTAAAGGCGGACGGCTGAAAGAAGTTTCCTTCACTTCTGCTGTTGCCTATGACTTGGGCATGTGGCAGACGGCAGCCACGAGTAATCTGGTGGGTGCCATTGAGGGTAATCAGGTCTTTGAGCCAGGACAGTATGTACAGTGAACTGCATATTCTACTTGGACCATTACTTGCTAACTTGGATGATAGCTGGTGGCTCAACATTGTCTGCGCTCAAAGAGATGGCATCGTTGGTGCCCCGCTCGAAAAAGCAACGAGTGGCCGTTACGGAATTACAGCTTTGCCCCTGCTTACGGGTCGCGAGGAGCTGATTTCACGTCGAGCACATGTCATCAAGTATATTCGCGAGGGAGGTCCAATGGACATGCACATTCCCCTGATTTCACAAGTCGGCCAGCAGATTCGTGTTTTGAGGGGATATAGACTGAAGAGTGTGTTTGCACCACAGGCTGGTGTCAGATACGACGGACTGTAAGTTGTGTCTTGTGCCTGAATGCACATCCATAACTCCTGACTAATGATCCAAAAGGTATATAATTCGACAGTATGGTACCAAAATGAACGAGACGACAAGCATTCACAGGCTGGAGCTGACCCTGGAAAGAGTGGCTCATCAAAAGGCAATGCAAGACTTGGAGAGATTCCCAAAACCATCTCAGCTTGATGATTGGAGATTGTACGAAAAGCTTGAAGGAGACAAAATCAAGCTGATCGAGGGTGATGCCAAGTTCTTCGAGTGGACTGTCCAACGGGAAACAGAAAAGCAGGACCGAGAAGACTATAAACGCGACTGTGAATTCCGAGCCTCATTTTCATAGAAGTAGTGAGGAGGTTACGAAAGCCTTTGCGTGCGAAGAGCAAGCCAAGATGGACTCAAATACCAGGAAAGATCCGGTGCCTTAAATACATTACCTCTCTAAATGATAAAGCAAAGTCCCTATTAATCCTTTCCCTCGGGGCCTTTGTGATATCTATGTTGTCTTACATGCAGAATAGAACCTGGATGTTGCATTCCTGCAAATAGTAGATTCTATGGAAATTAGAGCTGTCTAGTCCTAAATAGGCAGCCATTGGGAATTCTTGGGCGTACATTTTCTGCCACTAAAGGTAAAATGATGTTTGTGCGCACACCAAAGTGGGGATCCCGCATCTTTCTGATGTTGAGCTGATCCAGTGCCTCTCCTCAAGTTACTTTTGAAGAACGTTTACATCACAGCGGCTCGCCTCCCTCTCTCTCATTCGTTCTAAAAATGGCCGGCAAGAAGGGCAAGTCGGACTCCAAGTCGCAATCCAAAGGAAAGGCAGATGCCGCGCCGGCGGCAACCAAGAAGAAGGGAGCGCAAGCCATCTCGGCACGCCACATTCTCTGCGAGAAGTTCTCCCAGCGCGAGGAGGCCCTTGCCGAGCTGAGGGACGGGAAAGACTGGAAGGAAGTCTGTGTAAAATACTCGACAGAAAAGGCTCGATCAGGTGAGTTTTCCTGTATCTTTTTTTTTTTTTTTCGTTGTATACAATCACCGTTAGCACATGAGAGAGCATCTTACCAATTCATCTCTCTCTCAAGGTGGTGACCTGGGCGGGTTCAAGCAAAAGGGTTCTCTGCAGCCAGAGTTTGAAGAGGTCGCGTTTGCCATGGACACGGTCGACGAGCACAAGGCTGCGGTCAAGGGCGAAAAGGAGCCCATGAAGTCGTACAATTACGGTCTTTGCAAAACTGTCTTTGGCTACCATATTATCCTCTTGGAAGGCAAGAAATAAGTGCAGGCATATTGCGCCTCAAGGAAATGGCCCACATGATAATGTATTCTTGCATGCTTATTTCTGACCTCTGGCCGCAGTACAGAGGCAGGTAAGCCAAAAGCTGCTGGTAGATTATTCAACGAATAAGCAGCGAATAGTTCAAATGAGCAGTAAGGCCACTATCTCTTTGCGGCTTGATCTTGATGTGATAGGAGTCGGCAGGAGGACCATTTTTGGATACTTTGATGGTTATCAAGAATTGGGTTGCGCTGTATTACAAATGTTGTTCGTGAGCTAATCTTACAACTTCGTCACCTGAAGCTACCTACCAAATCTACTCCCATTACTTGGTCCCTTCATATTCCACGGGACTACAAGGCGATTCGAGCTCCAAATCATGTTTGCTTGCTTGCAGTTGTCTTGGAAGCTGAGCCAAATTTACGTCCCCAATCCCTAACCTTCTTGTCCATGTCGGATCTCACAATCACCATGACGATGCCCATGAGCCAAGCTAGGAACCAATCAATCAGGATTCTGCCAGGGCCACCCCTGGTACTGCCTCCAAGCATGCTGCCCTTGACTAGACCCGTCATGAGATCAGTGGTGATAAGCTCTAGACCGCGCTCTAACCCCTTGATACTCTCCAGGGCAACAACCTCCGGGGTTTGTCCCTTGTCATCCTCTTCCAACATCTTGGTAACATCAGGTTTAATAAGGTTCTCAGCCTCATATGACTCGGTAAGTATTGTGGCAGGGAAGATGGTGTGTGCACGGATTGGGGCCTCGTTTGGATGTGCCGCGGTGTAGAGGTTCATCTCCTGAGACAGTGTTTCGCAAAGAGAGCGTAGGGCGGCCTTGGATGGACTGTAGGCTCCGTAACCAGCAATGCCGTAGAGAGCCAGGAACGAGGCAGTGAAAATGATGTGACGCGCTGGCTTGGCAGCCTTTCCATTGCTAGCCGTCTCCTTTGGACCATCGACTCCCTCTCGCGCTCCTTTGATCCAGCAATTCACGGCAGCATGCGCCATGTACAAGCTCGAGAAATAGTTACCGTCCATCTGTTCTCTGAAGGCAGAGATGGGCGTGTCCACAAAAAGGCCAGGATGAGAAGTTCCGGCGCAGCACCAAACAATGTCTGGTGGGTTCCCCGAGTTCCATGTCGCAACTTCGTCAATGACTCTGACAGATTCAGACGGCGAGCTCAAGTCTGCGCTGATGTGGTGAAAACGCTGCGTCTCCGAGTTTTCGGCCCCTTCCTGTTGTCACGTCAGCCCATGATCTCGGCAATGCCTGATATCTACCCTGTCAACCTACTTGTATGTGCTTGATGGCCTCAAGCAGTCTCTTCTGGTCTCGTGCAACGATCACCACGTTCGCTCCCCTCTCGGCAAGTATGCGCCCGGCAGCGCGGCCCATACCACGCGAGCCACCCGTGATCAGCACGGTCTTTTGGACTTGTCAGCCACTTATTCTCTCCAAAACAGGGCTGAAGATGGGGAGTTCTGAGGGAGTTTGCCACGTACTCTGCCCTTCACCGGAAAGTCATTCTTTGACAGCATGCCCCCCATTGTTGCTAGTGAGCTTTGGATCCCTGGAAGGCGTCAGTCCCGTATCTTGTCTCGCTGGAGTGCTGCACTCACCTGTCTCTGAATAGTATTTGTTCCAGCTCTCGTGGCCTTGTTCTGCTCTTCAACAGAATGAAAAGAAGCAAAATCCTTTGACCTTGGTTGAGGTGTTGGTCAGCAGGAAGGAACGCGTTGCATTAGTTTTAGGATTTGAGAGCGGAACAGGAGAGAAAAGTGGGTCGGCTGGGACAATGCAAATGGTTAAAATAGTGTATGTAAAAGCCAACAACAGCAGTAACCTACCTCTCAAGCACCTAGACCTTGAGGAAATACACAGAATCCTTCTTGTTTTTTCTTTTTTTTAAATGTATGGTTTAATGTATCTTATGGTTATATGAATCATGTAACTCACCTACTCTTAACATTTTAGCACGCTGAAAAAAAACCGTTAGCAGAATATCTGAACCCTGGGACTGGAGGCACCCCGCTGTAACCAAAGGTAGGAAAACAAGGTGTCAAGTAATGTATCTTAGCATGAGGATGCACCAACAACTACACTACACTAACCTCAGGTTAGTGGACCTTTAACTGGCCGCCATATTAAGATACCCTATCCTCGCCCATGATCATACAAATTAGTCGCCAGATCATCAAAAGTATCAGTTCTCAATCATATTTGTCACATCTATAGCTGGAGACTGGAGAAGTGCTGAATTACATGCGTCAAAATGAGTGTTAAGAAGGCTCTATATCACAAGGGGAAGCGATCAATGCAATACATACCTCCATCAACTCTAGGGAGAGAGACATTAGACTTGAAGCTTCGCGTACATGCCTGTGTACCGTTACGGTCTGTTGCAAGTACTGCGCCCGACAATATGCACCTCTGTACTCTATGACCGGTCGAATTGATTTGCAAAGTGTCATTGTCTCGGAGATTGCCAAGGCCATACAGAATTATGACCCAGGAAGTCGGGATTCAGCGGTTCGAGGAACTTTGATGTGCTCCATTTACGCTTGCGCAGATCATTGTTGCAGTATAATCAGCCTCTGTTCTGCTTGAGTTCGCTAATTTCTTAGAAAGTCTGAACCATCCTCTTTCGGACAGGAAAAAGAAGATCATATCGGATTATAAAGTACTTAGATTCATTATTTCCAATTTCTACGATCATTCTTTGCGACAGGATTCACCAAGACTATGCAAGTATGTTAGTGCTGATTTATAAATAATGTACTCCTGGAAAAAGTGGACCTTAAGTTCTATATATGTCTGTACCAACAGTACATAGGGAGCATAGTGCTCATGCGGTTGAAGACAACAATACTCGCCATCTCTCGTGATGATAACAAGTTGCTTATGGATTATAATATGGGCGACACCAACAGCAGAAATGCCGGCGCGAGAATTCGGGGGATGGGTTGCCAGTAAGTTTTCAAAGTCGCTGCCTGTTGCATGCAAAAAGAATATTGCAAGAGGCACATGAAAGAGCAACATCTAATAGAGGAACAGTGAGGCCTATCATACAGCCATGCACTCGCTAGATTACTATCGAGGAACCGTTATAGCATGCCGCTACTCTCCCCCGTCGAGACTATGTCGCCCGGAAGCGCTGGAGAAACTCAAAGCCAAATTCCACGACGCTGTTGCGCGTGTTGTCCTGGCTCAACCGCACCTATGCGTGGGTATAGTTGATGAAAACACCAGAGACCCTAGGTTTGTTCGGCTTGATCGCCTGGACCTCTCTAAGCATGTGGAATGGAGGTCACTTGACTAGTCTAGCCAACTCGAGATGCTTCGTGTGCAGTCATTGCAGACTCAAGTTGATTCCAAATTTGAAGATATCTCAATCCAACCCGGCTGGAGAGTGATCGTAATGCATGTGCTCGGAGCAGAATTCATCGAGGTTCTGTATGTATGGAACCATCCGCATCACGATGGTACGAGCGGCAAGTTTTTCCATCAGCACCTAGCAAGAAATCTTAACGAAAGCCTCGCCCAGGACAAGGAATCTGTACTCGAAACTACCAAAGGTTCAGATAGTTTGATTCTCGACCTCTCGGATCCTTCTGACAAGTTGGCACCAAACCCTGAATTGCTCTCCTGGTGGCTTGTGGCACCTAAGTTTTTGTTCAAGGCACTTTGGAAAGAGCTGAAACCACCATCAATTTTCCCACCTGAAGACACCTACGCCACCTGGGCTCCAATCAAGCACAAGCCCTTCACAACGCGATTTCGTACCTTTAGCGTCAGCCATGAAGTCGCCACGAACCTAGTGCGCGCCTGCCGTCTACATCACACCACAGTGACTGGTCTCGTCCAGGCCCTAGCCCTCGTCTCCCTAGCACGTTCTCTTGGCGACATGAAAGGGTTTGCAAGCAGGACTCCATATGATCTGCGACACATCTTGCCACCAAATCCTCCACGTTATCCTTGGCTACAACCCAAAGAGACCATGTGTAACTATGTATCGGTGGTCGACCATGAATTCGATGCCAAGCTAGTTGCTTCGATTCGATCCAAAAGGCCACCTAGGACCGACGAAAATGCAAGTCTCCCAAGCGAGATAATGGACACTGTCTGGTCCGTCGCGGCCCGAGTACGACAAGAGATCCGGGCGAGACTCGACTCAGGGCTATTCAATGACTCGATAGGCATCATGAAGTTTGTCTCGGACTGGCGAGCCCAGCAGCAGGGTGAAATGCAAAAGGCGAGATACTTTTCTTGGCTCGTTACGAATCTGGGAGTCTTGGACCGCAATGTCGGCAGAGCACAGGAGCAAGAAGAGGGTTGGTCGTTGCGCAAGGCGGAACTAGTACTGAGCACCGAGATACTCTCTGCCGCCATATCCGTAATAATCATGACGGTAAAGGACGAGCAAATGTGCGTCACTTGCAGCTGGCAAGACTGTGTGGTCGAGGCTGATATTGGCGAGCGTCTGCTTGGCGATCTGGAAAGATGGATAAACGAGATTGGATCTTGATCGCCACTATGGTTCATGTTCGTTGCAGACTGGAAGGCAAACCTCAAGACGATTGCTATGAGAAAGAAGCATATCAGTGGGTCGAATGCTATAGAATGTTTCCGAAGATAGGAGGCTCGCGCCTCTTCAAGATGAATGGTATATGAGAAGCCACGGAGATTTCTCCTTCAAAAAGACTGAATCAGCACCAGAGAGCTACTTAGGAGGAATAGTTCAGGCAACATGCTGCAATGTGCTTCGACACAATCACATGAAAATCTATAAGTTGCAGTCAGCCATTTACTTGCAACAATAAATTTCAGTTGCAGAACAGTTTCAAGTGTAGCCACAGGCCAAGGGTACTCTCGCCGGGTCCCATGAACATAGTCCAATACACTTCACGCAGCGACCAAATCTCGAGTGCTTGCCGTTTGGAGTCCCTCGGTGGCATGTTTACGTGGAAACTCGGTATCACGTGACGTTGCGGTCGTAATATGTTCTCAATGCAATTTTCCATTCCGATGCAGTATGTTGTTTTAGCCTTGTTGGATGATTGTACAACCCAATGAGCCGTAGGGAAAGATGAAGTCAAGATCTCATAGTCCCTCTACCTTCTATATCCCTCCTACCATCAACGCCGCGATAGCCAATTTACTGCTCAGTCTGGAAGTAGTTGAGAAGGATGGAGCGCTCAGTCGACTCCTCACCCCAGTCCTTAACAACGACGCAGGAGCAGTTGACGACCTTGCGGGCGTTACCCTCACGGTCCAAGACGCCTACAAACTCTTGATTAGTCCTTGTTCAAGTGCCAACTTCAATGCAGCTCGTCGTCACTTACAGAGACCAGCCCACTCGCCGAGCTGCTTGCCATCGGGAACCTTGATCAGGGGGATCTTGTGCTCGGAGCACAGAGCAATGACCAGCTTCTTGTAGGCCTCCTCCTCGCAGGACTCGTTCAGGACGCACATGTGAGCCTGGCGTCTGTCGAGAGCCTTGGAAGCCTCACGGAGACCACGGGCAAGACCGTCGTGCATCAGGGAGAGCTTCAGAACACCCTTCAGGGCGTCCAGAACGGACATCTGGCCCTTGGAGGCATCGGCAGAGACTTCGACTTCTTCGGGGGCCTCGGGGGCGTTGTGCTCTTCTACGTCCGACTACAAGAGGGAATAACATGTCAGCATCAAGTACACTATGCAATTGCACATGTGGTGCATCGCGGCGCATCGCATTGCCTAGGTGCAAGCATCATGTCGTAGCGCAAATCCCAGAAAGATCCTTGCACAATCGGCAAACGCGAGGGCTGGTCGGGCAAGGAAAAGCGGGAGCGGCAAAGGCGAAAACTTACCATCGTGTAAGTTGTGTGTGATACCGGTGCGATCCTCGAAGAGTGTCGGTTGGCGAATGGGAGTTGGGGTGGAAGTGGTTGTTGGTGGTGGGTGAAGGGATCGTGTGCAGATTATCCAGACTAGAACCTTTTTTCGAGACTTTCGATATGGCGCCTTCTGCCCTCGTTTGATGGGCAGCGATTTTCGTGCCTTGCGCTGACGTGGGGTTGGAGCTCTAGCAGCCAATTGCAGGCTGCTTAGGGTTGCCAAAAGTTTACCCGCTTTTTATCCGGCGGGCCGTGTGGCCTGTACACCACACCGAAAATTGCTTCCCGTGCGCTGGGGAGCACGGCACAATATTGTGCGAATGGGTCCCCAGCTAGAGTCCGAAACTTTTTTATCTTGATCCCCTCCGCCCGACAATTTTTCAGTACACCACATCACCAGTCGCTTACGACCCAATTGAGGTATGTTCCATCACACGACGATGGGGGAGTGAATCACTCGCAAGACGCCCCTTCAAGAAGCCGGGGGAGAGCAATCAGGAACTCACTATCATGAGCCCAGCCAGGCATCGCGAAAAGCTGATGGCCACCGCTGCTGCCGATAATGATGGCGGGCGGGTTCGCTGATACGCTTCTCCTCTCCAGTATTGAGCGGGCAGAACCCTCTTGCGGGGGCACTCTCCATGCTCTTGGCTTTTGAAGGCTAACCACAACTTGAACCCGAATAGATACCTCATATCCCTTCTCCACGATTTGAGAATCTCACCCAACCGCCAAAATGGTCAAGACCTCCGTCCTCCACGATGCGCTCAACGCCATCAACAACGCCGAGAAGGCCGGCAAGCGCCAGGTCCTGATCCGACCTAGCTCCAAGGTCATCGTCAAGTTCTTGACCGTCATGCAGCGCCACGGGTACGTAACAAAATCTCGACGACTTCAGGGTGGCTTTAGCAGGCAATTGTTGGAAGGATTACTCTTGCTCGTGGTACACAAACCCCCAACACCAAACTTCGGCATGATAACTGGATGACGGTCTCAACAATCCCACGACCATAGTCTTTTAAGTTGCCGATATATCGATGTGTTACCACGGGCGAGGGAATCTTACACGTGTCTCTGATTCATTCACATGAAGTTCTCACGTTTAGTTCTTCGCTACATATATACTGACATGTACTTGCAGCTACATTGGCGAGTTCGAGGAGGTCGACGACCACCGCTCCGGCAAGATCGTTGTCCAGCTCAACGGCCGCCTCAACAAGACCGGTGTCATCTCCCCCCGCTACAACGTCCAGCTCCGTGACCTCGAGAAGTGGGTTGTCAAGCTGCTGCCCGCCCGTCAGTTCGGCTACGTCATCCTGACCACCTCCGCTGGTATCATGGACCACGAGGAGGCCCGCCGCAAGCACGTTGCCGGCAAGATCATCGGTTTCTTCTACTAAGCAGAACGTACCGATGAATCAGTAAAAATGGGGCAAGGGAAGCGAAGGTTATCACAAAAAGCATTTGCGGGCGTTTGGAGGTCATGAACTGGCCTAGATCTTGGCCTCGATTTTCTATAGCCAAATGAAGCAATGACAAAGATGATGTGCTCGTCTCACTACCCCAATTATAAATGACCCTCTAAAAGAACTGCTTGGTGTGATTTGTGAAATGCCACGGCCCAGGATGTCTCTGAGCCTCAGCCTAACAACAGCCTGATTATCTGTGTTCAAATCCGACGGACATCATTGGATGGCTGCATCTTGACATGTGCTACAGTCAGTCACTTGTTAAGTGATGCAGGTCTTACAGTTGAGCTGAATCTGGCTTTGTAGGCAGACAGGCATGAAGACTGCAATGCAATCAGGAGGAAAGAGATATGACTAGCAAGTGAAGGAATTAGAGCGTGGAATTCACATGCGCAAGTCTAAACTATCATGCTGAGAAATTGTCATGAAATTCACACATTTGGCCATGGAGACATTTGCGACGCGCCAATCCTGGATGGCGCCGCGTCAAAATTGGGCCAGGATAGGTATGGCCCAGACCGAAAGCGCGCTTTCAGTAGGTACGTACAGCCTGCATCGGCGGCGGACAGCTTTAACTTCGCTAACCTTTTAGGCACATTCCCCTGGATCCACCAGACTGTCGCCTTGAATTGATGGATGCTTGCCATAAGTTCATCGTCGCAACAATTCCTCCACTCGATCACAGCAATTTTTGGAGATCACATGCTGAATCCATGGCTTGAGCGCTCTGCTTTCTTTGCGAGAGTAATGTGATCTTTATTGTTATCATATAACTTGAGACAGATTCTATTCGATACCTGAGGAGAAGCAGTCCCCTACGCCGACCGAACGGCCTTTGCTGCCGCTTTCTTGGAGCAGTCTTCTTTTTTTGGGAAAAAAAAAAGCATGGGCGCAACGACCATGCGACCCAAGCAGCTTGTCCTCACCGGAGGCTTCTTATTCTTCATCATTTGTGTCTTCTCCTTGCTTCGATTTTCGCCGTCTGGCACACCAATTCCACATGCCGGGTCCTTCACCTCCTTCACGGGTGGCCATGACGATGGCTCCATGACCAACCCAGCATCTTCGCCGCCGGGGCCTGATGACCCAAAGACGAAACCTGCGCCCGCTGGCTCACATCCCATGTGGCATCTGATTACGGCCGCCGAACGCGAGTTGGAAGACACCAAGCGACGCCAGTCCAAGACCCTCCAGGAGGCCGTTGCCGAATACCGGAGGAGATACAAGATTCCGCCACCGCCAAACTTTGACAAGTGGTTCGCCTTCGCTCAGGCCAAGGGCGTGCAGCTTATCGATGAGTTTGACATGATCCACCAGTCTCTGACACCCTTCTGGGGCCTCAAACCTGAGACGATTCGACAGAGGGGCAAGGAGGCGCTGGGCTTCGACAACGCGCTCTTGGGAATCTCAATCCGCGGAGGCAAGGCAACCCATGTGCAGGGAGGCGGCGATTGGCAGCGCGAAGCAACCGTGGGCATGATGGGCAAATTCATCGAGTGGCTGCCAAACATGGACCTGTGCTTCAACTTGCACGACGAGCCGCGAGTTATCGTGCCGCATGACGATTTAGCGAGACTGGTCAACAGAGGACTGGACGTCAATATGCCCAAGGCGTTCCTCAACAAGAATCCAAAGAATGAATTCACAAAAGCCAAGAGCGGCCTGACCACCGGACATGGGTTTGAGGAGCAAAAGCAGACAAGGTTCAACGTGTTTGCGCACCAGCCTACCTGGACCCATTCACGCTTGTCTTGCCCCCCAGATAGCCCGGCGCGTGGTCTCGAGGACGACGAGAAGCGGGACGACGTCTCCAAGTACGGGTTGGGAGAGTTGGGCTTTGTCTACAACACGACTGCAATGTCTGACATTTGCAATTCGCCTTCACTTAGCTCGACGTTTGGGTTCTTTGATCGACCTAATGCATACAACATTGTGCTCGATCTTTTCCCCATCTTCTCGCAGTCCAAAATGTCCTCATACTCGGACATTCTCTACCCGTCTCCCTGGTATTGGTATGAGAAGGTGAGCTATGACGAGAAGCAGGACTATCCCTGGTTAAAGAAGGAAGACAAACTATACTGGCGAGGCAGCACTACTGGCGGTTTTAGCAGAGCCGGCGGCTGGAGGCGTCAACATCGGCAACGATTTGTGCAGAAAATCAATGCGGCCGAGGGGGCTAAGATACTGGTCAACAAAGGCACCGAAGCCGATCAACAATGGGAGCCCAAGCATGTCAATCGCGGCGACTACCGGGATCTCATGGATGTCTACTTCAGTGGTGTTGGACAATGCGACCCTGGCGATTGCGATGCCCAGAAGGAGTTCTTCACAATCAAGGGCCATGCAGACCAGTATGATGCTTGGCAATACAAATACCTCCTTGACATTGACGGCAATGCTTTCAGCGGTCGCTTCTACGCTTTCTTGAGAAGCCGCAGTCTAGTCTTCAAGTGGGCCATTTTCAAGGAATGGCATTTGGAGTGGCTGAAGCCTTGGGCACATTACATTCCCCTCAGCCTGCAAGGTGACGACTGGCTTGAAGCCGTCAGATTCTTTGGCGATGGGGATCTTGGCAGGAAGGAGGCCGAGAGACTTGCCAACCAGCAACGTGACTGGGCAAACAAGGTGCTTAGACATGAAGACATGGAGGTCTGGTTTTTCAGGTTACTGTTGGAGTAAGTATACATGATTGTATTCAATCTGGCAAGTCGCACCAAGCTAACAATTTATAGGTATGGACGTGTGATAGACGATGGACGAGATCATATTGGCTTCTCGCTTGGCAGCGTTGACGCAAGTGCATAACTGGCCACTCGAGGGAGCTATTCTCACTCTACATTTGTATGTTTAGTAATTGCGCTGCATTCAACCCATGCGGTTGATTTGGCGTAGGCGTTGGCGGCGTCTTTGCTTGGGAATGTGTGCATTTGCATTCATTTGAGGCGGTGTTACTCAAGACAGAGGGACAGAAATCCACTTGGTTTGCGTGCCGAGCGTTTTGGTCATAAAGTACAGCAGGACAGGATAAAAGCCACTTGAGCCCACATGTCGATAGAGTTGGATGATCAACACTTACATATGACGGAATCTACAACAAGTAGAATGTAGAGAAACAAACATAGGACATGAATACATGCACTCTCATAATTATATCCACAGCGTTGTTCTCGTCCACGATGGGACATTACACATTGTCCACGCATGCAGCGCACCTAATTTTTAAGCCACATCCAATTATCAGAGATGCACTGTCGCTTGTGTTAGAGCCCTTGCATTCGAAAGTCTGCGATTGTGTTTTAAGATGCAATCATGGCAACTGTCATCACATACGACCATGGCTCTTGGAAAACTCGGCATCTTGTCCGCTCTTCCCTAGATCATGAGAAGCGCTGGCTTGACACCAGGGAACCTACAATTCCCGTTTCGGCGATTGAAAATGAGATTTTATGCTGGGATTTCCCCTGGTTATTCATATTGCATCTGTTCCATCTTTGGTAAATTACTCATGGAGTTATTTCCTTGTAAGTCGATTGGCAGAGCATCGTTTTCTGTGAACGACATGCCCTTATGTTAATTGGTGAATATGAAGTCTCCTTTTCTCTTTTTTTCTCTTTTTTCTTTTTGGGGAGGGGAGAAACCAAAGTTGCTCATCAGCAGCAGCACTAAAGCATATACATTAACCCCTTATACCGTCGGGTCAGTACTCAACGGCTCAATTCCGATATTGTAATTGATTTCTACATTATCACTCCTGTCAGTTCTCCGAGGTGGTGATGATGGTATATTATAGTCACTCCTGCTGATGGCAACAGAACAGACAAAGAGGTGATGTGCATCCAGAAATGGCAGCCGCGGAGCACGTTACATTCATAGTTATACATATTAGTAGCAGCATTATTCCAACATATCTGCTCAACTTTAGCGGAACATATTGACCGCGTGTCACCTTGTGCAGTCATGATCCCCAAGTGGACTTTGGCTGGTCTGACTCAGCGTGCCAAGCTGTATGACAAAGACACCTACATAACAAGGTGGATAGGAATGTATCCTGGGATTTTCTCTCTTTCGGTTCCAGAAAGCCGAGGTATCTTTGTACATGCCTAGCATATATAACCAAGTTACATGTAGGCATGAGGAAAAGGGAAATCCAATGGAATGGAAACGGGGTTGCTTCTCGCTTTATTTCAACGACCATCGCTAGCCGAGGCTGAGGCTATTTAGAGCCGTACTCCGCACATTTCGCATACCACTATGAACAGTCTGCATTCCACACACTTCCCTCTGCCCATTTCACTCCTCGACATTGTACAAATTCCACTTGTCATTCAAATTAAAGGAATCAAATTAAACAAGTTTTCAATAGCGTCTTGCTTTTTCATAAAGCACAGGGATAAGGTCGGAGAAGTTTAACATCGCATGACCAGTTGTAGACGAGGGGCTCCAAGTGTACGTATTATTTATTACCCATAACACAACTCCCTCAAGACCGCACTGCCTTTCGTAAGACGTCAATTTCTGAGTCTTGGGCAAATTTCTGCTCGTGTGGCCAGTATGGCGACCTTGAAGAGTCTATCAACCCTGTTCTCAACTTGTTAGTAATGCAATGCAAGTACGTCATCTAGAATTGCACCAAAACATGCTCATATATGCTCAGGTCTCTCCATATAAATGGTTATATTCTCTATCGTCGTGGACTTTTCAAGCTCCACTCGTCTGACTGTGAGCATACTGTGGCCATTGCCTTAACAGCACATAACACACATCCTCAAAACAATCCGAAACTTGACATTTTGTCGATCATAATTAATGTATTCATTTACTCATTTTTGAAAAAAGATTGAACTACGAAGAATAGCATCTAGGAAAATCAAGAATCCATCGCAAAGCGTCCAGTGAATTTGAAAGTCGCCAAGCCGTCCTTGAGATCCTCCACGAGAGTATTCATTTCCGACTGGAAGTAGACACCATCCTCACTCTCGGTGATGCCTGACGAAGTAATGGTGGAGCTGACGGTGCCGTTGCCTCCTAGGTAGCCAATGGGCTTGCCAAACAGGTATCCCATCTGCGCAATCTGGGCCGGGCGGCCCGTGGGGAACAACGACGAGGCCGCAGTGCTGTTGAAAAGCCCAGCCTGATCGGCGGCAGCATCAATGACAATGGCATCAAAATCGGTTGCGTCGGCGGCCGAGTAGGTCTTGTTGACACCAGCCGCGAGCGACTCGGCCACCACGGTCACGACAAGACCTTCAGCCTCGAGGGCCTGACGGAGCGAAGTAGCCTGGGTAAGCGACCCGGTCGTGCCCAGAATGCCGACCTGCAGGGTGGCAATAGTGGGCAGGGTGCTGTTGGTGATGGAGATGCCGGCCGTCACGTTGTCGTGGTAGTAGGTGTCGTCGGGTGTGGGCGTGTCGAGACCCAGGGCAGTAGCCACGCGGCCGGCAATGTCGTTGCTGATGCGGTTCAGCTGGTCAATGACGTTCTGCTGGACTGTGGACGATGAGAGCTTGGAGGTCTCGAAGCGAATGGCGTTGATCAAAAATTGCTGCTCAACAGGGGTCAAGGAGTTGTAGAAAAGACGAGGCTGCGACCAGTGGTCATCAAAGGTGGACGAGAGCGCCCGAACCAGGTTACCAGTGACGGTACGGCTGGGAGCTGTGAAGAAGCCACGACCATTCTTCTGGTCGGCTTGCTGCGGATATCCGCCGTTGAGGGTGTTTGGAGAGTCTATTGAGAAGTGAGTAACGATTTCCACGGTCTTGTTAAGCGGCAGGGCTCACAGTGAATCTTGTTCTTGTGGATAAAATTCTGTCCAGCACCATCTCGGTTGTTGTTGTGGATCGCAGCACGAGGACGGTTGATGGGCAGCTGCTCAAAGTTGGGACCGCCGTGTCGGTTCAACTGGGTGTCTAGGTAGGAGAAGATGCGACCCTGCAGCAGAGGGTCCTCGGTAAAGTCAATACCGCGAACGATGTGTCCAGGTTGGAACATGACTTGCTCCGTCTCGGCAAAGTAGTTGGTGGGGTTGGTGTCCAACTTCATGACGCCGAGCAACTGAACAGGGACGTATTCCTCGGGTAGGATCTTTGTTGGATCGAGCATGTCGAAGCCATAAGCCAATGCCTTCTCCTCGTCGACAATCTGAACACCGAGCTCCCACTCAGGGCCGTTTCCAGACTCAATTGCATCCCAGAGATCCTGTCGGTGCATGTCTGCATTCTTGCCAGCAAGGATCTGGGCCTCTTCCCAGACCAATGATGCCTTTCCTTGCTTGGACTTCCAGTGCCACTTGACGAGTTTCGAAGTGCCATCATCAGTAACCAGGCGGAAAGTGTGGATACCAAAACCATCCTGGGTCAAGTCAGTCATGTGTCTCATTTCAAGTTGGTCATTAGGTGATCCTTACCATGTGTCGGAAGCTACGAGGAATACCGTATCCGGCCATGGCCCAAAACAGAGTGTGCAAAGTGCTCGCTTGCTGGCTGAAAAAGTCCCATGCTGAGTCGTGGGCTGTTGCGGCTTGGGGAATTTCATTGTCCGGCGACGGCTTGACAGAATGGATCAAGTCGGGGAATTGAATGGCATCTTGGATGAAAAAGACCGGGATGTTGTTGCCCACGATATCTAAACTGCGTGTTAGTACTCCATCAAATGACGGGCTCGAGAGAGCATACCAAAGTTTCCCTCGTCAGTGTAGCTGAACATCTGTTAGCTCAAGTTCTTGCGAGGTTTGAAGTTCTCACTGCTTACAATCTGACGGCGAATCCGTGGACATCACGGGCGGTATCGGCACTGCCTCGTGATCCGGCAACGGTCGAGAAACGAGTGAAGACGGGAGTCTGCTTTCCAGCTTCGCTCAGGAACGAAGCAGCAGTAATGTTGCTCCAGTCACCATAGCTAGTGAAAGTGCCATGGGCACCAGCACCGCGGGCGTGGACAGCTCGCTCAGGTACCTAGGACAAACGTGTTGTCAGTTTTGACAGCTTTACTACACCAAGCCTCACTTCCAACAGGAATCAAAACGAGCTATGAGTCTTGCAGATTCATTATACTTACACGTTCATGGTCGAAATGTGTTATCCTATCCGATATTAGCATTCGTGAGGCACCATCAACAGCTTAAAGGTCAAGACCTACTTTTGTCGAAAGATGTAATCCTCGAGCAGAGAAGGACCACGGCTTCCAGCCTTCAAGGTGTTTTGCTCCGAGATTTGACCACCGACATCATCGGTCATGTAACCAGTGCTATCGTCAAGCTCAAACGAAGCAAGAAAGTCATCGGACGAGACATCATCCCGTGCGAGGAGAGAACCCGGGTCGGCAAAGGGACAGCCCACGGCCGAGGCGAGTCCCAAAAGACCAAAGAAAGCAAACGATCTTGTTGAACGGCCCATTTTTGACTAATTGGACGTTTCCCACGTGTTTGACGGGTGAGGAAGAGGTGAGCCAAGAAGGATGGACAAAACTCTTGGGCAAGAGAGGGAGAACGCTGCATGTTTATACCCGAGACGAGAAGAGGGCCTTGGCCGACGGAGACTCGAGGGAAAAGCTACCTTAGGTATATGCTAACTAGATAGGAAACCATTAGAGTGACACGATACATGGCTCCGAGATATGGTTCTACCAGTACGGCATGTACCACTCAAAAGGTTGCCTCTATGTACTACATGGCTTTACCTAGTGTTTACCTTGTGCACATTGACCCCCCGTCAGTCTTACCCTAGTCACCAGAAGGCCCTAGCCCACGGCTTTCGTCTGCAAGCAAGTTGGGCAAATCTGGCAAGCATCATGAAGAAAAGTGGTATGATTTGACTTCCTTGCACTTGATCTCATCCCGTCTGATGCCAAGCTGGACTTGCCAGAACAGAACCGACCTCGACATGGTTCCACGCAAACTCTAGTGCCGAGAGACCAATGGGAGGGTTGATTATAATATCAGAAGAGGATCCCGGGCGAGGATCTTGGACCCACTGAGCACTGGGCTCGGGGCCATGTTCTTTTGGAATCATTGCTGCAAGGACTGACTGATTGACCCACAGGTTGATGAGTGCCAAGGGGACAATGTCGTTATTTTTCATGTTGCATACATGCGTAGGCAGGTAAGTAGGCAGGTTGCAGTTAGCAGGTAGCTATCATCTTGGTAGCGAACGTTGTGTCCGTGGTAGAAAAGTGATCTATGCGTCTCCGTCTTGGCGGCATATCGTCACACAACATGAACCAACCAAACGTGTGTGTTCTTGGCATGGTTTGCGTTGTGCTGGATGCGCGCCAAAGGAGCTGTTAATAAAGCCAGCGGCCGGTTAGAAAACTGATTATAGGCTTATAGCCAAGGGGCGAACTGGCTGAGGTGAGCCTCTTGCTGTCTAGTTCATCGAGGCGCAATCATTTTGGCGCAGTGTTAATCCATCAGTCTCTTTCCCCAGCCGGACGGCGTGAGCCAACTGTACATTAGGTATGTAGCTACGTAAGCCTAGCTACCTAGTGTTTGCTAGTTGTCTGGATTGTCAACGGTTTTGTCAATCACGACGGGGGGAGTCAGAACGGCACTGCAATATTGATATTTCCGCCCCATGATCATTTGGAATCATGAGAGGTTTCGTAGAAAACAGTTGAATAATAGAGAAAGTGTGAGAATCTATTCAGAACAAAAATTGAATGCGCATCATCAACTAGTCCAAGATCTACGGGTGTTTCTTGGTAGGTACTAAGGACAGAACCCGGCAGCCGAAAGAGGGACCAGTCCAAAAGACCAGTCAAAAGGCTGTTTAACATCCCCAGCGGAGTAGAAGATCGTGCGTATTTTTCTGGACCATGTGGAATGACCCCATACACCCGGGCCGCTGGCAAGTAAAAGATTCGTCAGCCGATCTTGGAAATATTTCACGGCCTTCATCTCGATCACATCGATTGAGCCTTTACTCCACGGTCAAGCGGTTTGACGGTCTGGCGGTCTGGCGCAGGGGGGCCTTCATCGAGCAACGACATATTCCGCAGCCCAAGTGAGTGCAGAGCTATCTACTGTGTATGTACGACACTCAACTCAAGGGATGCATACATACATATGCAGCTACCAGCCATTCGCCACGTGCAATAGAGTGACGTGACAATCATGAACAAGAAAACACCATAAACGAAATGCAAAGAAAGTGAAACCTACTAGATAGGACCGGGCAGAGAGCTAGGGTATTGTGCACCTAACGGAGACTTTGGCAGTCGAATCAAATCACCCCAATTGCCAGACGACAAACATACTACCTGCGGTAGCCGATGGGAATGCCGAGTCGGCAACTATCATGATCCATGTACCTATGTTTACAACCGACCGGCTCACGGACAACGGCTTTTGCAAAGGACGAGGAATTATAATTCAATTATGGGGATGTTATTTGTAGTACACAACGTGGAGAATTGGCCGAAGCCTTCTTTTTATCTGAGGCATGAGCTGAACAGCAATTGGAGCGGAAAGGAACGTGCCGACTTCATAGGTACGAATCAAGTACACTGCAGTAGCAGTAGTAGTAAGGGGGGAGCGTACTCAATACTGACTGTCTCTCACATACTCGACTTCGAGAATATCATTTCTAAATCTGTCTCGGTGTTTACAGGTAATAACGTCTTCTGCACAAGTAAATAGAGCGCCACTCCCGGTCCCCGAAACAAAACAGAGAAAAATGTCCATCACTGCAACCACGGCTTGCAAATCGCCAAGGTTATGTGCCGTGCCGAGTCAAGCCAAGCCCCCAAAAGCCTTGCAAAGAGGAGCCCCCACAACCCGCGCGTAGGGCCACTTCAGTGTTTCGTGGGGTGATTTTCGCCTTGTTTTTTTTTTTTTTTTTTTTTTTTTTTTACAGGCCACTCACTGCCTAGCGAAATGCAGCCTACATAATAGTGATGGGTGATGTAGTATTCCACATACATACATACTAGGTACTGAAGGGAGAGCCCTGACAAGCGTTCGTACTTTGTTCCTCTTCCAAACAAGCGGACAAATATTCCGAGAAGGGCGACATGGTCCGGAGCAAAATGATGCCCCTGTCACGGCATACAAAAGCAGTGAGGAAATAGCGAAACGGGTCAACCAATCTGATGACGACATAGACTTCTCATGGGTTCCATATTTGCGCTACAAGCGAGGAAAATTGTGCCTCTGTATTCCGTATCGTCTCTAATAACTTGGGAACAAGAAATGCAACAGTGGCTTTAATTCAACCAGGGGGGGCTTTGACAAAAACCAGCCAACTTACACAGTAAAGGGTAAAAGAAAAGAAAAACATGGCTGGGATTGTGCATCTATCTAGGGATGCCTGCAGATTGTTGTCGTCTGTTCATCACAAGTCACATCCTACCTAGACCCGCTCCCAAAAAGACTCCTACTTTTCCGCAGAGTCCTTCCTGATATGGTCGCGGTCTGGCCTGTCAAGGGTTCAAAAGGTAACCATGACAGAGCCACAAAAGGATTGTTATCAGAAAAGTCAAAACCTCCAAAGCGTCACAATCAAGACCATTTTGAGCCTGAATCTCCTACAATCGTGCATGCCGTCATCTTAAAAAATGTATGCAACGCTGGATCTCGTTGCTCAACTCCCCGCTGCCAGGGGGGGAGGGACCCCCTTCCCTCCCGTCGAAAAGAACTGGGGAAAGGGCAATTTTATACTATGGGTCTGCTGCTCTGCACATGCAAAAAGGCTCCGGCGTTATGACTCGGGGACCCTGTCTCGTTTTCCCCGAGGCTTGACAGCAGAGTACGGTGGTTTATACGAATACAGTAGAAACACAATTTTGGGGAATCATGACACAAGAAGGAGGGAAAATAAGCAAAGACCAAGACTTTAATTCGAGATCGGAACTCGGAAGAATCGTTTCGAAAAAGGGATCGTCGACAACAGATGACTTGATGGAAATTCCCCGGTACCAAGTCTCGTGCTCACCCAACGGGATCTCACAAAAAGAAAATCAATACGCTTGATAGGGTAGGTTTTGTCCAGATTAAACGTGCAGGAGATGCACTAGCCAAGTGCCGCGTCGAGGTCCCCGAGGTAAAAAGGCTTTCCAATACGACTATCCCTAGGATCTATATGCAATACACCGGCATCGTGCATTTGTAATCTGACTGACTCAGGGCCCGGCGCTGAGAATGAATCCCGGCCTTGAGGTTTGAACACTGCAAGGACATGTATGTGATGGAACATCACGAAAGGGGCAATTAAAAACGGCCAGGCACCAATGACACTCACTGTATTTGGAATATTTCAGGAACTCGGATCGATAGCCAGCCGTGCTAAAGGAATTCGGTACTCAAGTTTTCCTACCGTTTACTCAATATAAACCGACGTTTCATTGATCTTTTTACGGTGTATGTCTATCTACAGTAAACATCCTGCAATGTCTAATATTAGCCGGGCCACCCAGGGTTCCTCCGCAATGCCGTTCTCAGAACTCTTTGATACTCGACGGCCGTCATCGGAGGCATCATGAGCATCTCGCCATATTGTGGTTTGAACAATTAGAAATGAAAAAAAAAAAAGTATGCTCAAAATATTCAGGTATTATACAAATGTGCAAGACATAAAATGCGCCTTGCTTTCTAATGCGATGCTGCTCAATTCCAGGTGCTCCTCTTTATGCAAAAAATGCCAATGGTATATTCCCCCCCCTAAACGCCCTTCATCCTGCCTTTGGTTGTTCTTCAAAGATCAAGAATAATCGACGAGATGCCTTGGTTGAGACTTCCTCGGCGACCTCCGTACTAATGGTGACTGCGCCTCAAGGACGCCCGACTCCCTCGTACGGTCATCAATGGCCAAGATGGACAGAATTGACTTCTCAATCATGCTTCTGCCACCCACGAGCTGGTCTTCGTCGATCCATCCAGATTCCACAGCAAACATGACAATATCGCTGGCGCTGGGAAATGCCGGGATACTTTCGTCTGCTTCGGGATCCAGATGTGTCCAAAACTCTTTCGTGATGCGTTTGAATGCGTTCAGTTCCTTCTTTGGTCCCTGGAAGTTAGAGACAATGTAGTCGTAGATATAAGCGAGCCACAGAACATTTGTGTATGGTTCGTGCTGAATCCACGAGATTGGGCCATCCACTCCTTCGGCGTAAGCATTCTTGTGGCTGTTGGGGGGCAGGCAGATGCGATCCCCTCGAAGCATGAATGATCTCATTTGCCTGTATACCCTGCATTGAGGCGCGTGTTCGCTAGTAAACAAACTCATGTCTCTTTCCAGGTCGTACGCCACCGGCCGTGAGTCCTCTAACTCTGGGTTCTCTCTAGCACGAGATAAGCCGTAGTCCAAGATGGTTATTTCGAGGCCAGAGTGCCCAAAGTAAGAAGACGTATCCCTTGCTTCCGGTGGTGTGTGATGGCCAACTTGTCTGATGCACAGGTTGCCTTCGTGGAGATCGCGATGCTATACCGGATTAGCCATGTCCCCAATGTTCGCCCATCATGTGCTTACCTCAAATTCTATCTGCGCCTCGGCTCGAGCCAGGGCAATGGCAACATGGAAGAAGATGTCCCAGATTTGGTCGGCAGAATGTAGCTGAAAGTCTTCGAGAGCCACGCCCGCATCCCCCAGCTCGACCACAAGAAACTTTGTGTCATCCAGATACCGGCTGGGAGAAGGGTAAAACTGTAGCCTGCCAGGGTCCTGCCTCTTTGCCCTCTTGTGAAAGGCCTGGTGGGTTTCCAGTAGTTCCCGGCAAGCCTTGCCCTGAACAATGTATCTCTCCTTGTACATGACAAATCCAGGGATATCCGCCAGCCACTCGGAAATCTTCAGCTCGCCCACCAGATCCGACTCGGAATGGGGCTGTTCGTCCACTAAACGAGATTTTTCTTGGGCTTTGGTCTGCGGCTTGATGGGCGACACCATGCGAATGACCTTGATGATGCTAGTGCCCCGCTCATTGTTGACCCGGTAGACTTCCGCATAAGACGCCTCTGCAATCTTGACGATCCGATCCCCCGGGGGGCAGATCTCAGGCCAGGAGAGGACTCGAAGGCCGCTGGCATCCACCTCGGGCTCCGGGGTACTGGGCTGGCGCTCAGTCTGTTGTTCATTGACTGGTTCATCTGGCTCTGGCGTTGGCTCCTGGACTTGTACTGGCGTCTTCGGTCTCTTTGTCGTTCGTCGCCTTGAAGCCACAACAGGTGTCTTGACTTCTGCACTTTGGACCGTCTCTGAGATAGAATTCTCGTTTTGAATATCCAGCGCTGTTACTTGTTCGGTTATGTCCTCGATTGTGACATTTGTCTTTGTTGCCGCCACAGCGGTCTTCCTAATCGTAGTGGCCAGCCGATTGGGCGTTTGCGGCAGCTCGGCAAAGAGGCGATCGCCCTTTGACTTCTTGTGCTGCTGCTTGCCATAACGACGCACTGTCGATGGCTTCATCATGTTGATTGTCGCAGTGATTTGCCTCAGGTAGTGGAGTCCTTTTGCTCTGCCCTGCTTTACCTCAGCGTCTTTGAAGATGTGGGAGGTGTTCAATGGATGAGCGGCGTTATTGTCGTGGGGCGCACACGTTGGCACAGCAACGCCGTGGCCGGTGGCCCAAATCACCCCCTTAGCACCTAGAACAGCGCCTGTCGACTAGCGCAGCTACCACCTATGCGCAATGCCATTTCACTTTTTTGTTAACAAATTGTAGCAAGCACCAATGAAGAAATGCTCTCGAATTCGATAACATATTTTATCATTATCTCACTTTTGAGGTCTCATTTTAACCTCTTCGGTTTATTGCATCATCTCCGGTCTACTTGTTGGTAAAGAAAGGCGTTGCACTATGATTATACTGACCGTTCTGATACCAAGTTAGGGTGATATCAATCTGATTGCTATTGACACATTTTCTTTGTCACGCAACGCAAAGTCATTGTTTACCGTTGAAAGAATGGTTTCATAATCAGTAAAACTAATTTTTGTCTTGTTTTCACTCTAATATGTTCTGGCTACAACATTTAAGCCTGCAGCAATTTGTCGTTCTTGTCGGAGCCAATTTACCTGCTTGCTGCCTGTCTCAACTGGTGAAAAATCAGGAGACTTGGTGACAGAGTTTCTCTACCTCTAACATTGGGGGGAGACTTGAGTGCCTCTACCCCTATATCCAGGGAGTTTCGGGTTCCCTACCACACCCGCAGTTGATAAACGACCAACCAGAGATGACAAATTGACTTACAGAACAAAAATGAGCTTGACGATCGACCGGATGAACAGGAGGACCGCCGCTAGTGCCATGGCAGCACTGGCTGAAAAGAAGTGCCAGGCGCAGGCGAGGAATAAGACAGTGGACAAGACTAGGAAGATCCGAATGAACAAAGCCATGACCCGAGCGCTGACGATAATGGCAAGGTGGATGAACCACAATACCATGACAACCGTCAACAGCATCCGGGTTTCTGGGATCGCCCAGAGGATATCTAGGGCGGCCACTATCCGGAAGATCCAGGCAGTCAAGAATCCCATTACGCAGTGCATGAACGGCTTGACGTAATCTAAAATCCAATCAATGATCGGATCTGCGGCCTGATAGGTCCGTTGGCTCGAGACCTTATGGCCGTAGCCTGCCGTGAAAAAGATTTGTGCCATGGCTTTGACTGTCTCTTGGTAAATATGTTGAAGTGTGGATATTTGTTGTGGTGGTTTGTGTGTGTGGGGTGCTTTAACTTGCTGTATACGCTTGGCAAAGAGAAGAGATTGGCCAACTTTGACTGAATTGTCATCGTCTTATATAGTATTTCGTCCACATCAAAGTTTTTGGTGTAAATATTTACAATATTAACGTCGCGGCACCAAATGTATGTGTAGTCTCTACGCCAACGGAAGACAAAGATTGACCATCACCATGTCATGAACTTGAGTGAACAAAGAATGTGTTAATGATAGTTACGAACCGACTCAGTACTGGCACATCCATTGATGTGTAATGTTAGCTCACACAACTTTTGTATGTAATTCTGAATAGAGAATGCTTGATGATACAGTCTACAAAGTGGTACGAAACCAGGTTATTTGATAATCGACGTCACAAGGATACCGCGCAACCTAATATTCACCACCATCATATGGTACTGGAAGCCTGTCTCATTTTCTAGTTCGCCGAAGCTATTGCAATTCAGAAATACAAATTGTAGCCCGGTCGAATAAATATTGGAAATGCCAAGAGAGAGACTCGAAACGTGTAGAATCATTCAACTTGATCAAGCTTCTACATTATTTTATTCGAGCTGTGGAATCTGGAAATTATTCGATATTGTTTTTAGCTGCACATCTCATCGAAGATATATATAGTCGCCCAATGCTGTGGTCTCTGGAGTGCAAGAGCTGTGCAGTGGCTTCTGGGGGATCGGTAAGGCATAAGACCGAAATGCTACGACTGGGGAGAAAAACTTCAAATTGATATTTGTGTCGTGGGCCTGATGCAACGTCCTAGAGAGTCCGACTCTTAACTGCGAACAAGGTCCGTAGTTGGAAATCCGTACAGGCGGGCAATGTTTTCCGGTCTTAGTGGAGACCCTTGCTTCAGTCAGGACAAATATAATCAGCCCTCCATTCCCTAATACTATAATGTTGTAGAAACAAAGACCCAAAAAGAAAAACAAATCATGTCGTCTCCAGTTTCACTCACTGCGGTTCTAACCCTCAATCCAGGGGCCGAGCAAAAGGTGGGAGACCACAACCCTTGACGATATGCTTATCCACTGACGCGAGACTCTGTACATCTAGTTGACTGAGCTCTTCAGCAACTGTGCACAATATGCTAAAGAGAACGAGCCATTTGTTTGGGTCTACGAAGTGAGCACAGGTCGCACAGATCCAAAGGGAGATGTTACAGAGTTGGTGATTCGGGAGGTGTAAGTTTGCGGCCGCTCCCTGAACTCGCAGCGCTGATAATTGGAGCTCAACTGCAGCTACGAAAGCCAAGCCGCGATGGACAAGCACATTGCCTCGAAGCCTGTACAGGAACTTATCAAGGGGATCGAAGCGGGGTTAGTGAAGGATTCAAAAGTGGTCTTTACAGAGAAACACCCCGAAATTGGCTTTTCATCAAGACTATAGTAGACAGACAGTGCAAAATTGCGTTATGAGGAATGGAACATATTAAGACCAATTGGGGTAAAGGATGTTGATAATGCGCTATCTACGTATACATACAACAATCAAGCCAATCATCCATGGAATCTTGCTCTCAATGCAACGTCCGTTGATGTATACCCAAGTTTAGTCCGACACCTAAAGTATCAGGTCTCAAAATTGATACCTGTACTCGTGACAGCGCTTGGATAGCTCAAATGCAGTACTTATGGCAATATGTACATTTTGTAGTGTGTATAACCCAATCCGGAACTGCGGTACTTCAAAATATGAGACCACTGGTAGCTAGGCGCGTATCTGGCGCTATTGCATTGTATACATAGTGCTATCGTTAACCCCCGCGAGATCTCAAAATGCGCGCAGATCCGGACTCAGTTTCCGGAATCCCGCGGGGATTTTGACATAGGCAGCGGCCGGATCCCGAATAAATCTGAAATAGGCAGGCCGTCCAAGGTTCAGGGCCCAAAGGGTCCAGGCCAGAGGAAGTAAGCGCTAACGGGGGACCGACAGTTCCCATACCTTATCTGAGTCACCTTGCCTTGGGACTGATCTTCCTTCTGCAACATAACTCCCAAACAGCTCTCCCGCTTGCAAAGACGTGAGGTGCGTTCGATTGGGAGATCTTTTGGACTCGCTGTAAGTGAAGCCTTACCACACCGTATAATCGCAAGAAATGGGTTCATTAAACTTCGGGCAGGTCGCGGACAGCCGCTCAGAATCTGACAATGTCGCGCCTCTTCCACCCACCGACGTCCTACTGTGCGTCCGGACGGGCAAGATTCAACCGCTCGCCAACGTCAAGTACATGAGCGCCATTGACAAACAGCCGCACCAGGGCAAGATCCGTGTCACCGCGACGGGCCTTGTCGGGGATGAGGTCCAATATGAAGAACATGGCGGAACGGAAAAGGCTCTCCACATGTACTGTGCCTCCCACTACGCGGCGTGGAACCGGGAGCTACCCAACCGCGAGCATCTCTTCAAGATTGGCGGCTTTGGCGAAAACTTGTCAGTATATCGCCTCAACGAGGACAATGTCTGTGTGGGCGACATTTTTAAAGCTGGCCCCGAGGTCGTCCTTCAGGTCAGTATCTGGTGCTTCGTCTTACATGTAGATCTTTTAGTTCCCCTACATGTGGCATTTGACGCTCAACTTTGCTCTTACACAATCTGATACGGGAGCAATATCTAACCCCTATTTGTATAATAGGTCAGCGACGCCAGACAGCCATGCTTCAAGCTAAATTACCGCTTCGAGCACAAGAAGACCTCATTTCTTGCCCAGACTTCCGGCCGCACAGGATGGTACTATAGAGTCCTGAAGACGGGCTACATACAAGAGGGCGATGCCTTTGAGCTCATTGAGCGCGCCAATCCCACTTGGTCATTGTCGCGGCTCCAGAAGTATTGTAAGCAACCTCCTGTATCATTTCCTGCGTATTTCGGAGCACCCAACAAGCAAATGTGGTCTTTTTTCAATGCTTTGAGACAGCCACCTCGTGTCTAGAATGCTCAGCGCAGCTACTATCAAACTATATTCCCCCACAATAGAGGGAGATGCTAACTCTTGATTGTTGTAGTGTACCATGAGACTGACAATCTCGAAGTCATGGAGACAATTATCCGTCTTCCTGGCCTAGGTGATGAAATGGTCAATGTCTTTACCAATCGCATTAGCAAGGGCGCCGAAAATTTCGATGGTCGCCTGAAAGGTGATGACATTCCGGCAGATTGGCGAACGTATCAGCTGAAGGAAAAGGTTGATCTGACGCCACGCGTCAAGAAATTCATCTTCGAAGTCGACGACGGGTCTACTGCGGACGATGTCGAGAACACAAAGCTTGGCCGCTTTCCTCACGTCCGCCTGCATTTCGGCCCTGATCTGTCCTTCTCCAGGGCGTATTCTCTCGTCTCTGGCAACATGCAACGATTGGAATTGGGCATTGCCAAAGATGACAATAGCCGTGGCGGATCTGTATTCTTGCATGACAATCTGCATGTGGGTGATGCCCTGCGTATTGTCCAAGGTCGTGACATTGCCTCGTTGCAGACCAATTGTATCGACAATCTCAACAGCAAGAAGCACATCTACATCATCGGTGGCATAGGCGTCACAGCATTCCTACGTGACATCGCCAAACTCTCCCAGACCTCTGCGGACATTGAGGTCCATTATGCAGTGCGAAGCCGCAAGGAGGCTGCCTATCTGAACCTTCTGCCAGCAAAAAGTACCACGATATATGCCAGGGACGAGGGCAATCGGCTCAATGTCAAGAGCATTGTTCCCAGTCCCGAGCATGGCCAGTTTTCAGCCATGATATATTGTTGTGGTCCTACGTCTCTGTTGGATGAGTGCCAGAAGTTGACTAAGAAGCTGCGGTATCCAAGATCCCACGTTCACTTTGAGGCGTTTGGCGGAGCCACCACGGGAACTGGAAACCCATTCGAGGTTGAGATCAAATCAACTGGTAAAGTCCTTCAAGTGCCTCAAGAAAAGTCGCTTCTCCAGATTTTGAACGAAGCTGGCCTCGACGTTGAATGGTCCTGCACGGTCGGCACCTGTGGTACTTGCATGGTGGACTATTGCAAAGGCGATATCGAACATCGTGGAATGGTCTTGGACGATGAGGAAAAGCAGAAGAAAATGCTGGCGTGTGTGAGCCGAGGCAAGGGAAGAGTTGTCATAGATTGCTAGGTTTACCTGCCTAACCCAGTGAAGTAGCAGAGGATACTAGTTTCAGAACAATCAAAATCAGTCTTGTTCTAGTCTGATGTTTGCGGTACGTCCAGAGGGATTCCAACGATGCAACGCGAGTGAAAAGTTTCGGGATGATGCGATTTGTTGGTCATAGGTCAACACAAGACGGGGTAGTTTCACATCAAAATCGCTGCTCAGCTGACTTGATTATGTCATGCAAAGGGTGAGAAGATCGCCAAGACCTGCCTTCAGTAGTAGCCATCATCATATATTTGCTGGTAACGAGGAACCGTAAGAAGTGACAAGTTACGGTAACCCGCCTGTGCGCCCGCAATGAAAACTGCCGATGTCGTGTTATATCATTGCTTGCGACATGCGATGCAGAAGCGGTGAAGGGGCTATGCAAACCTAACAACAGACCCAGGTAGGTAGGTAGGTAGGTTACATGGTCACAATTGCAATCTCATCATGTCCCGAATCCTCCAACATACGAGAGGGACTGACTTATTACCCCTGCGTCCAGAAAGGTAAATCAATGTTATGCTTCTCGGCGCCACAGCATTGCAAACGACGTCACGGTGTCGACTACGAGTCAAGGGATTCTACTTGAGGGTTGTCTTCATTGGCCGTATAGGGGGGTTCAATCCGGTCCCTCCCCCGCGTTTCTCACCCTGCCACAGCGCCGAGAACGTGACGCTGCTCGCAGGCGGCCGTAGCTGCTGAGCCAATGAGCATGGTCGCTGCCCCCCCCCTCCACTGCGAGAAAAAAAAAAGAGCCCCTCCCCCGCGATCGATCTGCCTACAAAGGGTCCCTCTGCACATCGACGTCGTTCCGCAGCTGCTGGCTTCCGGGGTCTATTTGTCTCTGGCTAAGGGTAGTGACGATCTTATTTGTTGTTGCATTGGTAATTCGAAAGCAGCAGCATTCTATTGTGATCATACGATCCCTGTGTCTTTCTTTTACAGTCGGCTACGAAAGGGGTTGGCGCTTACCGCTGTCTCTCATTTGCTAGGTTGAGTAAGTGTTTCCCTTTTCTCTCTTTTCTTTTTTGCCCCCTCCTCTATATATATATATATGGTCTCTGCCGCTCTTCCCTAGTCCCGTGAGTACTTCATTGCTTCTCGTATTACCTCTACGTTCCTCTCTTCAGCTCGCGTTGCTTGGTATTGCTTCCAGTCAACATTGTAGTACAGGCGCAATCCCAATCTCGGGCTTTCCATACTGTTTGCTTGTTAGAAGTCTGTCGCAGGCATCCTCCATAGCAACTTGGGCAGATTATACATGATTCCATCTTACTAGGCTTAAGCCAGATCATCTTGACTATTGCGACAGCCGTGGATACCGTGACCGCTGTTTCGAAAACTTATCTACATCAATCATGGAGGTCACTCAGCTCATCATCCCCACCAGTCCAGGTTCTCGCGGTTTATCGACAACAACCACTCTGCACAGAATGAGTGATCCAAAGGAGCGGTTCTACCGCCACTTTCAGACAGAGATTACATGTGAGGTCCTTTCCCTTTGGCTTGGATTCATAACAAAACAATGCTAAGTGCGCACAATAACCGCAGCAATCCAAGACCAGATTGAAGATCTCGCCCTGTTATCACCAATTAACGGGGAGCGACAAGATTGCATTGACACTATTCTTGCCGGCATCTCGAGATTATCAAATGAGGTAGCTGACGCACGCGATTTTGTACCAGCCTATGATCAGCGAGCGTACAGCTTGGCACTCAAGGGCCTTACTGAAAAATTAAACGAGGCCACGGGCAAGTTTGCGCGCAAGTCCCGATTTCAATTCAAGCCAAAGTCTGGCGGACATCAGCCGGTGGACGGCGCTACGAAAGAAGCCAGGCCGCGACAAGACTCTAGACACCTTGTTCATGCAGGTTTCACTGGTCGAGATGCTACCATTTTGGAATCAAGCACATCTGCAATCAAGGATGACGAGGAGTCGGACGCGGTCGGCAACCTGCCTACGTTTGGCGGCAAGAATTACAATGAGGAGATATCGAGACCTGTGCTAGGGAATAACATTCGCAAGCCGTCCTTCTCTAGTGCAAAGACGATTTCCATATACTCGCAAACAGGCCTACACATCATGCTACCGTCCTCGGCATCGCGAGCCACGTCCTCGGGCTCACTCACGGATCTAGATCGATGTATCGTCGACATGACTATCCCCACCGCTGCCAGCAGTGGTACTCCGTTTGCCGGCCTTACAATCAAGAACATCAAGCAGAGCTTACTCATCTGCGGTACAGTAGCTGGACCCGCCCACATCACTGGAATCAAGAACAGCGTTATTGTCGTGGCGGCACGACAGGTACGGATTCACGAGTGCAATAACGTGAGCTTTTATCTACGATGTGGAAGTCACCCAATAATTGAGGACTGCTCGGATGTTCGATTTGCGCCACTGCCTGATGTCTATGTGAGTATTTGCTTGGTTGCCTTAGAATATGGTACATACAGAGCTAATACCTCCACAGGCCGAGAGCGCTGAAAACTCCGGACAGGATCAGTGGGATCAGGTCGACGACTTCAAGTGGCTCAAGAACGAGCCATCACCAAACTGGAGCATCATTGCCGAAGACAAGAGGCTGCCTGCCAACGTCTGGGCAAAGGACGTCCTAAGCAACCCGAGTCTGAGTACCGACGATATCCTTCGCAAATTTGGCGTTCCGGGACTATGAGGTCTGATTTGTACTATACTTTTTACAACTCCTTGCACCTGGACTGGAGGGTTTCCCTAACTGACATTCATGTTTTAAGGTTGAGGCGGGGCACGGCGTCTAGGTTCAAATTGCATGCAGGTCCCAAAAATAAACATAATCCGCTTATCGTTCATAATTCAACTGTATTCTCAGCATAATAAAATGTCCCTTGAGACTTGTTGTAATCAATCTGTTCTTGTGCCAGTATAGGAATATTGGCTTTTCAAGCCCATTACCCACGCGCCATACGCCTTGCTGAGTCGAAAGAATTGGCCCCCTTACGCTGTTATTGTCAACTCCTCTGTAGTACAATAGAATCTATCCTGATTCTTTATCGTATCCCTCCTTTATCAGAACGCCATTAAAGTCTGACCCGTCTTGCCGGTTCATCTAGACGGTGGAGGGGTCATTCCTCCGGGTCCCTGGCGGACAGAGGCCCACTACTCCTCCATCCGATCCGTGGTCGCGAATGCGTTCCCCTTCTCCCGCAGTGCGGCGAGCTGTTCATGCTGTCGCCTGATGCGGTCCTCCAATTGACGAATCTCGGCCTCCTGCTGCGCAACGCTCTTGTCCATGTCGGGCAGCGCCAGGACCACGGCCTTGGCCTCTTGCAGCTTGAGGCGCAAGTGATCGGTGCTGGCGGGGAAGTCGCGTAGGGATATGTCGCCGACGGCGGTGCTGTTGCTGCTGCTGCCTTGGGACTGTGTCGCTGCTGCTGCTGCGGCCGCCGCTGCTGCCGAAGATGATGACGGCGGCGGCGGCGGCAAGGGCTGGGATTGCGACTGCGATTGGCTCCCGGACGGTTGCTGTGATGGGGTGGGAGCGGCGGGTGTCTGGCCCGTGGTCGAGGTGCCGGGCAGGGTGACGGGGGCGCGCAGTCGGGCGAGGAGGGAGGACAGCTCCGTCATGATGTCGAGCTGATCGGGCGACAGCCCGGGCGGGAGCGCGAGGGGGGTGGTGGGTTCTTGGTCGGCCATCTTGGCTTTCCGATTGCGCTTGAAGAGGTGTCTCGCGGGCTGGCGATCAACTACCACCTCTCTTTTTTATGGCGTCAATGATGATTGCGGTACGTATATCCTTGGTTTCGCGCGGCGGAGAAGGAAAATAGCAAAATTTGATTTGTGACGATAGTATCTTGACTTTTTTTTTCTCATTCAAAACCCCCTAGGAGGCATCATGCAAAGTGCAATGGTGACCGCAAGTCTCGAGTGTTGTTTTTGTTGTTGGTTCGACAAGTTGCGCTTGCTTTGAACGATTGAAGTTCAGCCTTGCATATGCAGTCGCAAATCTACGTACGATTCATACAGGGGTCAGGTCGAGGTCCCTGAGGAGGGGTCGTTTTTTCGGAAACCGACCGGTAAAGCCCCGAGAGACTTGCCTGTTTAGAGTAGTAAATGTATCAATGTAGAAACGCACGAGCAAGAGCTCATTCGATTACAGACGTCGGAGTACGACAATCATTAGGATTTTGATAATGATTCTGGTGAGTATTATTGCTAAACAGAAAGTCGAGAATATGTCAAGTGTACTTTGTCTATGTTTTCTGCCTAGAGATACAAGATATTGAATATGATCTGAAACCCCGAGGGGCTAAACTTGATCAGACAATTAACTGCAACTGCATGAGATTCTGGACCTGACGTCAAACCCAATACCGCCGCCGTAACCCCACCAACCCACCATTAGTCGTTCTTGGGAAGTTTTGCTACCATCCCATCTGCTCAACCAAAGGCTCCTCCAGACCAGACTGTCGACTCCCTCCTCATAAAAATCACGCATTATTATTGAGACAAATACCGTCTCCTCTCTTTTAGCGAATCCCATCACGCAATTTGTCATAGTCACCTTGAAATATCACCCATAGAATCACCAAAGTTGCCAAAATGCCCAAGCAAACAGATCAAAAAGCATGTCTGAGTACGTTGTCTATCCCTCCTCAGTCTGCCCCTCCATCTTCCCCGGACACTCCCGGCCCAGAGCCTCCCGCAAAAGACGCCGTCCTGGGTACCACGGACCGCGCTATAGCCGCAGGCGATGGCGGCAGTGGACATCAGGGTACCCAGCGAGCGCAGGAACGTCCCGAATACCTTGTCGCTTTTGCATACGTCTTGATCTACATGGAAGTGGGGTGGTTGATACTGATGCTGCTGCGCATGTATAGTCGTTATTGATGGCTGGGGTATTCCCTCCAAGGACTCACCCGCCAACGGCGATGCCATCACCAATGCAAAGACCCCTGTAATGGATGAGCTCTACAAGAGCGCCACCGGATTCACCGAGCTCGAGGCCTCGTCGTTAGCCGTCGGTCTGCCGGAAGGCCTGATGGGCAACTCGGAAGTCGGACACTTGAATATTGGCGCTGGCCGTGTGGTATGGCAGGATGTTGTCCGCATCGACCAGACAATCAAGAAGGGCGAGCTGGCACAGAACGAGGTGATCAAGAAGACCATTGAGGCTGCCAAGAACGGAAACGGTAGACTGCACCTTTGCGGTCTTGTTTCTCACGGTGGTGTGGTATGTTACGCTGTAAAATCATCAAGTCGCATGTCACAGAAGCTGATCAAAGAACCAGCACTCCAAGCAGGAGCATCTGTACGCTCTGCTGAAGGCCGCCAAGGAGGCCGGCATCCCCAAGGTGTACATTCATTTCTTTGGTGACGGACGTGACACCGACCCCAAGTCCGGTGCCGGCTACATGGAGGAGCTCGTCGCCAAGACCAAGGAGATTGGTATTGGTGAGATTGCTACAGTCGTTGGACGTTACTACGCCATGGACCGCGACAAGAGATGGGAGAGAGTCGAGCTGGCGCTCAAGGGTATGGTTTTGGGAGAGGGCGAGGAGAGCACCGACCCCGTTCAGACCGTCAAGCAGCGATACGAGACTGGTGAGAACGACGAGTTCCTCAAGCCCATCATCGTTGGTGGTAAGGAGGCTCGTATCCAGGACGGCGATGAGGTCTTCTTCTTCAACTACCGATCCGACCGTGTCCGCCAGATTACCCAACTTCTGGGTGATGTTGACCGTTCGCCCAGACCTGACTTCCCTTACCCCAAGGCGCATCTGGTCACCATGACCCAATACAAGCTCGACTACCCCTTTGAGATTGCTTTCAAGCCTCAGCACATGGGCAACGTCCTCGCCGAGTGGCTCGGCAAGCAGGACGTCGAGCAGGTTCACATTGCTGAGACCGAAAAGTACGCTCACGTTACCTTCTTCTTCAACGGTGGTGTCGAGAAGGCCTTTGCGCTCGAGACTCGTGACGAGTCGCAGGATCTTGTGCCCTCCAACAAGAGCGTGGCTACCTACGACAAGGCTCCCGAAATGAGTGCTGCTGGCGTTGGCAAGCAAGTCGTCAAGCGCCTTGCAGAGCAAAAGTTCCCCTTTGTCATGAACAACTTTGCTCCTCCGGACATGGTTGGTCACACTGGTGTGTATGAGGCTGCTGTCGTTGGTGTTGAGGCCACCGACAAGGCCATTGGTGAGATTCTCGAGGGCTGCAAGAAGGAGGGTTATATTCTGTTCATCACCGCCGACCACGGCAATGCTGAGGAGATGAAGTTCCCCGACGGCAAGCCCAAGACGTCTCACACCACTAACAAGGTCCCCTTGATCATGGCCAACGCGCCTGAAGGCTGGAGCCTGAAGAAGGGTGACGAGGGCGTCCTCGGAGATGTCGCTCCCACAGTTTTGGCTGCCATGGGTCTGCCTCAACCCGAGGAGATGACTGGCCAGAGCCTGCTTGTCAAGGCATAATTTTATGATGATTCGACATCTACGCTGTCTTCAGAGGGAAACAGGACCAACGAAGAATTGGCGTCATCCTTTGGAGGCACACCTAGAATAACGAGTACATGTCCCCCTTAGAGCAGAATTATCGTAATACTACGTATAGACCAAGAACAAACAAATCCTCGGAGAATGCATTGGCTTGGGTGTGGAGCGTATCTGTTACAGACATATCGCAGTTCCTTGGCCGCCATGAAAGCCATTTGGTCGACCGATAAGCATTTATCCGGATAAAATATTCAACCGGGTGACATCAGTTCGTCAAAGCCCAAGTCTGATTCGGGCTTAGCGCGGCGACAGCCCACACGCCTCACAATCACAATTCGAAATCTCTCCAACTTCGTGCAGCCCCGCCATAGTAGAAGCCAGCAGTTTGAGCCTGCCTATCCACCAATCTTCACGACAACTCCCTCTCAGACTGCTCAAGATGGACGGCGAAGACCCCAAGGAGAGACCCTCCGAGATCTCGACCATTATCTCTGGTCTGGAGCGATACAACCCCGAGGCTGTTCCCTTCCTCGAGAACTACCTGAAGGAGCAGTGCGAGAACAAGTTCATCGACGGCAATGCCAACCGGACTCTGTTGAAGCTGTGAGTGTTTGCGCTGTTTTGGTTCTCCCCCACTCCGATATCTCTCAAGTCTTCTTGGTATGATGAACAATTACAAAGCGTTTCCTATTACCTGACGGGCCGGGGCCGTCATGCGCCGGCCTGTTGAAGTCAACTTTAGCATATCTGACCTACCATTCTTACATCTATGTTATCATGTGCTGGCTGGTGCTTGCCGTGTCGAATATGGCTGACCAGTCCCTTAGGTACCAGCTCAACCCCGACCGCATCAAGGACGATGTCGTCACCAACATCCTGGCCAAGTCCTTGACCAACTTCCCGTCTCCCCAGTTCTCGCTTGCCCTGCACATCATTCCTCCCTCGATACTTGCGCCCAACTCGCGTGCCGATCTGTCCGAGGCTATTGGCCACCTCCGTGAGCTCAACAACCAGCTCGAGGGAGCCCAGTACGCCCGCTTCTGGGACACCATTGACAGCGACGATCTCTATGCCGACCTGATTGCCGATGTTACGGGCTTTGAGGAGCTCATCCGTATCAGAATCGCAACTCTGGTCAGCCATGCCTACCGGGAGATTGACCTGAACGTCCTTTCCAGCTGGTTGGGACTGAACGACGCCAAGGCCAAGACCTTCATCACCGAGACCGCCGGCTGGAAGGTCGAGGGCGAGCTGGTCAAGATTCCCCGTAACGCCGAGAACGAGGCCAAGAAGACCGAGGTGCGCGAGGATGTCAACGTCGACATGTTCTCTAGGGTCGTTCGCAGAGCCTGGGAGGAGACAGCTTAATGGATTGTTGTGACGAGCGAAAAATGAATAATGGCACTAGACATCAAGCTACGTGTTACACGTAGGCGCAAATGCCTTTGCATTTATGTGAGCGGCTGCATTTGGGAAAACCACAATGGCGTTCAAGGGGTATAGTCGTTATGGTTATAAACAAGCATCATTCCCATCCCTTCGCCCAAACTCCTCTTCCGACCGAGAACGATACTTGGTTGGTGTACTGGACTGGGATCTCCACGGCGTCAGCCATGAATGTTCGGCATATACCTGAGTGACAACTGTCGAAACAATTCACAATGTATTCGCAGTGGCCCAAAACAACCAGATAGCGGGCAGGACGATGGTTACGGGCGGTGGCAGCACCGGCGGCATCAGTCGCTTCCAATCAGCATTGTTTAGGTAGTGCCATCCAACTCCCCAGATGCTAGAATACCCCTAGAATAAAAAAAAGAAATTTAATATGAGATCCCAGATCAGACCAATCACTCAGTCAGCATTGGGGTCGTGCATTGACATGTTTGGTCAAATAGGCTTTCTGCTTGGGTTATCGGCGATCGATCAAGAACTGGAATAGCTCCCGACTTTTAGGGACACCCGATTCTAGGAATAGGAACATGTGCGAATCAGGCAGTACTTTGTCCAACGTTTCTCGGGCTGCTAACCGATGCTCAGAGTCTGTGGGCAAAGAGGCGCGTTTGCCAGCTGCACTCAGCTGCGGGTAATGGCAAAAGATGTACGACTCTCCAACAGATGCCCTTAATGCCCCGCGACTCGTGTCTGCCATCTAGCGTTTTGTGGTTTTCTTACTAATTTTCATGAAAATTTGCAAGCCTGGCGGTGTCTCTTGTTGTCCCTCCCCCTCTGCAAGCAGCTGACTTGACCTGACCGACCATGAACGTTGGCGGTGTTAAGAAAGGAAAAAAAAAAAAGCCTCCCCCTCTTTGCACCACGGCATCTCCCCCGCTGCAACTTTGGCGAGATCCACAAGTTCTAGCACCTCTATTCAAGTACCTACGTACCCATGTACCCAGTACCACTACATAGCAGCTCAGTCAGGGGTTCAAGAAATTTCAAAATCCTCAACAACTATGAAAACCATCCACTTTCTCCAGACTCGGCAATGACAAGATGATCCGCATCCGGGATCTTCCAAACCGTTGAGAATTCTTTGTCGAATCGCACACGAGTTTTTTCCATGTGATTATTGCAATTGCCAAGCACGATATGGTCGAGTCGTGATTCGCCCGACGCACTACAGATCATAGGCTGACTGGCTGACTCGACACTATGTGTGTTAACCACAAGTATGATCGGAATAATGTCAATTAGTGTGGTCAATTGTACGCGTATGTGGGCAAGTAGGAGCACTGGACACGCCGCCACTTGTGATCTCCTGCCGCGAGGCGGTCGCGGCTATTCTCTAACACGATGGCCGCCCGCAGTGGCAACGTGATAAGCGACACAGTTTTCTTCCAGAACACGCCAGGATCCCAACAGGCGGTCGGACCGTGAACGTAGCGCCTCAAGAACCGGGGGCCATGAGTCTCGACTTGGGTAAACCCCTGAGTAATTGTGGATATGGGGGACCCTGAAAATCTACTACTATCTACCTTGTAGTTAGACCCTAAACGTGGAGGGCAGATCTCAAGCGGTGCGTGCAAGCGGTGCTAATAAAACTCGCTGTCGTGCTCCTTGTTTCTGGCAGGGGAATTTCCTTCGTATGTCCTCCGAGGTCTGACGAGCAAACGCCAGACTCAATATTCAGACACAATGGCCCCAATGGCTTCCAGCACAGCAGTTGAGACTGAGACCCTTACCGTCAAGGCAAGAGGTGCCCAGCAGGTGAGTTGTTGTCCCTTTATGAGCCCCCAGATTCACTCATGAATCAAAAGGGAAAAATAGCTAATTTGAACAAGTCCATCGAGCCTGTGTATCCAGATGTGAACACCATCCGAAAAGCCATTCCTGCCTACTGTTTCCAGCCCTCAGTTGTACGATCTCTCGGCTACGTTGCCAGAGATCTTACTCTTGCCGCTGGCTTGGGCTACGCTGCCATCACTTACATTCCACAAATCGAGAACTTCTACGCTCGTGCTGCCGCTTGGGCAGCATATGGTTTCGCCCAGGGTCTTGTCGGTACTGGTATCTGGATCTTGGCTCACGAGTGCGGCCATGGCGCCTTCTCCCTCCACCGCCGCCTGAACAGCTTTGTTGGCTGGGTCCTTCACTCGCTGCTTATGGTTCCCTTCTTCAGCTGGAAGTTCAGCCATGCTCGTCACCACATGTACACCGGCCACATGGAGAAGGACATGGCCTTTGTCCCCGCAACCAAGGAGAACTACGAGCGCAAGATGGCTTCTCTGAGCTGGCTTGGACGCCTGGGGATTGATGCCGAGATGTTTGACGAGACGCCCATTGTTACCCTGGCTAAGCTCATGGCCCACCAGCTGTTCGCCTGGCAGGGCTACTTGCTCTTCAACATCTCGGCCGGCCCCCAGAGCTTGCAGCGCAAGAACAGCTGGTGGCGTCTCAGCCACTTTGAGCCCACTTCGGGTGTCTTCCGCCCGCAAGAGGCTCTGTACATTTTCTTCTCCGACGTCGGTCTGGCCCTTGTTGGCTACGCCGTCTACGTTCTCGGCCAGCACGTTGGTGCCATGAACGCCTTCCTGCTCTACGGCGTCCCCTACTTCTGGGTCCACCACTGGCTCATTGCCATCACCTACCTCCACCACAACCACGAGGACGTCAAACACTTTGACGCCGAGGGCTGGACTTTTGTCAAGGGCGCCCTGGCCACCATTGACCGCGACATGGGCTGGATCGACCGCCACCTGTTCCACGGCATCATTGGAACCCACGTTGTCCACCACTTGTTCTCGTGAGTTGAAATTCTAGAATCTCTGTCTCGTCTGAGTCAGAATCGCTAACTGATATCGTTGCAGTCGCATTCCCTTCTACTACGCCGAGGACGCCACCGAGGCCATCAAGCCCATGCTGGGCGACCTGTATCACAAGGACGAGCGCTCCTTTTACGGTCAGCTTTGGTCCGTCTTCAGCAACTGCAAGTACGTTGAGAAGGAGCCCAAGATGCCTGGTGTCATGAGATGGCACAAGAACTAAGGGAGAGAAAAGCATTCTACACTTTTCTCCCCTTTGTTTTGCGGATATAGATTTATGTGACTTGGGGTCTCATCGGAAGAACAAGATCGTTCCTGCATTATAGAGTTGTTTCTTTTGAGAACAAGAGGCTTTCGAAGCGGGTCTTTGGCGGCTCATGGCAATTGCGCATACTAGAGGAAAGGACGAAAAGAAAAGAAAGACATGACAAAAAAGAAGACATTGTCGCATAGACTAGACGCTAGACTAGACTGGATACCCATCTTGAGCTAGACAAGAGGATCAGACGATAGATATGATGCCAAAAATCACGTTTACTTCAAGCCAGGACTTGTATATGAGCTTCGAATGCTGACTCAGAGAAATCGGGCTACGCCTACGCTTCATCAACCCATCTCTGTTTGAAACAGCTCCAACTGTTTGAGCCGGTGGCAAAAGACAATTAGTTGTTGCATCTGTGAGAAACGGTACCAGTGCAGACATAACTCTGGTCGGGCGTGTTACTATCATGTGATAAGGCGCTTAATTAACCATACAGCGAGAGCTTCGGAAATAATAGCTGATCTGGACCTTGGGAGGCTGTCACGCAGACCTATGCGTTTGACCACAGACATCTGTTGCATAAATCTCACCAAGCGGCGTGTGGGTTTAGTCAAGCTTGTTTAGATCTCCAATGCAGTCTGATATGAAACCAAGTACAAATCGAACACTGTTTGTTCCCATCGGACGGCATTGTTCACATTCATGCCTTTAATGAATATATTCTTAGTAAATTGTGATAGTACCGTTATTCATTTCAGGATGTGTCGGCCCTTAAGTCACACGATATAATGCCCCAATACTATGACTTGCCATTTGACCCATAGAAATGTCCCTGCGCCTGTATTCGGTTGTTCTTTGTCCTTGCGATTTGAAACTAACATCTAGCACTCAGTTCGGATGAGATGATAATACGCGAATGGTTAGTTCCACCAGGAATGTCCCTATGGCTGAAATAATCACAAATGTAGTGGCAGTCCATCCGAATGCCATAATTGCGCTTCCGGTATGGGTGATTGTCAAGCCATAAGTCAAATGTCGTGTCATGGTCGATGCGGTGCTTGCTCCTACATGTTGCCAGAATGCCGAGACACAACCAAAGGCAGATGCCAGTCCAAGCAACACCAATACGGTCATTGCAATTGGTCGGCTTGGAAGGGGCATTGTTTCCACGACTGAACCATCATCACTTCCCTGTTCTTCGTGCCACCCGGGGAATTTTGACAGGAGAAGAGTGGCGAAACAGATTAACGCAATAGTAACGATACTGAGGTCAGATCAGCACCGTAATTTGGATTTAAACTTACGTGAGCTTCACAAGAGAGTGACAGAGGAATATAGATACATACATCAGTGGATAGAAGAAAACCTCCGACATTATGGACTGTGCCAATTGTAACAGAACCAAAGGATCGCCACTTGATGACGATTCCATTACTGCGGTTAACTCATCTTGATTTCGGCTGCAGGCCTCAACGCCATTGCTGAGGCTAACACACATGAAGAGGTATCCAATTCGTATCTCGCGCAAAGTGTTGTTGCTCACTACTGGCTGACTGGCAAGACTGTGAGGCAGTCTAGTGTCGACTACCAACGACCCGATGGTTGCATTAGGTGCGGTGGTATTATAAGAAATCGACAACAGATAAACATTCTTGAGGCCGTTTTTCGAAGTGCAACCTGCTAGAGGGAGAGCTGAAACTGACATCTTAGCACAAGATCCTTTGATATAGGCTGTTATACTGCTTACTGACCCCAGAACAATATTGAGATGACATTCATGATCATTAGGACATGGTGGTATCTCAGAGATGGTATATACCGATACCGGTCAACCTGAGAAGACTCAGAAGACATCTTCAAATTGAACAATGTCTCGACAGGTAAAAATTCAAATTTGAGCCAATACTTGATCAAAGAAAGTGGACAGGCAAATGGATTGGGCTCGATGGATGTGGGGCACCCAGAGGTAAACAACGATCGGCGGAGGGTGTGTGACACGCAAATATGCAGGTATTGTGCGAATTTTGCCTGGGCTTTCAGCCCGTGTCACCCATGAATCATGATTGGACCAAAGTAGACGCGCATTAAATGAAGTCTCGACAAAACATCAACAAGATAATCTTACGAAGTTTGCAACCGCATCTTTTGCACATAAGCCTTGGAGACTTGCGGGACATTTTCAGAATGATCACGCCGGCAGATGTCTCCGCGACAAGCTCTCTCGACCGGGAAACCATTTCAGGTTCTTCGGATCGGGTCGGAGCCTCTCCTATGCAGAATGACCAAAGCACCTCAATTGCAGATAGTCACGGTGTCACTAATGCATATTCGCCTGAGGACCGTCAAGTCAGTCCAGTTCAAAATTCAGCCCAAGATCCAGCCCAAGATGTTGCCACAGGATCGGCCACGATCAATAGCTCGGCTTTCTCCTTGCACCAAGCAATAAAGAACCATGATATGGAGTCTCTGAATCGCCTCTTGAATCAGGGGGTTGATGTAAACAGCACTAACGGAGACTATGAGCGGCCGCTTTACTACGCCTGTGAAGTTGGCCTTCAAGAGGCTGTTGAGCCCCTTTTAGAAGCCGGCGCGGACGCAGAAGCCAGGTCGATCAACTATGTTTCGTCACCACACCCGACCGCCCTGTTTCTGACTGTCGAAAAGTCTTGGATTCAGCTGACGGAACTGCTTTTGAAAAGTGGCGCTGATATCAATGCTACAAACCTAAAGCACTCGACAGTGCTTTCTATGGCGATTCACAAGCGAGATGTGAACATGATTCGCCTACTGCTTCGTTATGGTGCGGACAAGAATCTACAGAACCTGGATGGCGAGACTTCAATTGACCTTGCCCGAGGCTCGCAAGACATCTCATCACTGTTTGAAAGGTCACAAGGCCCTCCAACGACGACAGCCGAACTGCAAGAGGCTTGTCGTGTGCCAATACACAGGGTTCGACCTCCCACATACAATCGCGATAAAATGATCGCATGCCATAACTTTCAGGCCGCACTCGTTGAATTCCATGTGGACAAATTTGAAGAGCGCAAGACGGAGATCATGAGTGTCTATGAACTTCTGTATGGCCATAAACCTTCAGCAAAGCCATCAGAGGAGGGAACAAACCACCGTGTATTTCGATGGTACCATTTGCCAGCAAACAATGTAAGTAATCCCTCCCTCTAAATAAATGAATCGAAGCTAATAGCTGTGGAGATGGAATGGGTGGAGGTGAGGGTCCGATCAGTTGCTTGCAGGCTGCCCAAAAGTACTTCGCACTTCATGTTTTATTGATCACTAACAGGCGACAGGACTTGGTGGCACGACTGGTGTTCGAATCGAGTGAGCCACCTCGGAATATATCACGCAAATTTATGTCAGTTTCTGGCATAAATGGAAGTCATGATAGAAGAGATGCCACCGCCGATAAGTTCTTGTCATTCATGAGACCTACCTGTCGTTCTATCCCGGTACGTATGCAGCAATCTTGAGCTCACTCTGGGATTTCTGGACCAACATAGGTCTTTGCAGATTAGCCTGACCGGTGATGAGAAGGTCTCGAAACAGATTGTAGCATTTGTACGTTCAGGGAACACCCCCCCCCCCCTCCCCCTCCCTCTCCTCCTCCCCTTTTTCTTCTTATGTTCTCTGAGGCGAGCTCACGTTGGTCAGGCCCCTTACCTGCACTTTGAAGATCAACCAAAATTTGCAGCCAGAACTGATGAGCTGCGCGGCATTCTCAGCTCGTTGGCAGAAGTGAAGACAAGAATGGTGCATCCAAGCAGGAGAAGAGATTACAATTCCAGCAGGCCTTATGAGAGACTCGACCCAGACGATCCATCTAATTGGAGGGCCGCTGAGTCCTTGCATATTCATCTGCTCAAAGGATACTTGACACCTGAAATGAAAAATGATGTACCTCGGCTACATATACGACGTACTCTGGATCAGTATCTTTACACTCATTTAGACACACAAGAGCGCGACAAAGATCAAGTGGTTTCCAGATGGATGGCCAGATCAAATAACCCATCTATCTCGAAGGTTCCAAAGATGTTCATGGTAGACCAACTGTGGCTCTGGATCATCAATGAAGGTGATTTCCCGCAATCTTCCCAGCAAATCTCACGCGATCCCTTGCCTGCTTAGACTCATCTTGATCTGTTGGTACTTATGTAACTGACTCTAAGAAGATACCGTGATAACATGCGCCTCCGAAGATATGAACAGCCTCTCAGCTCCCCTGGCGCCAATAGAACCCGCCCGAAGTCCGCTTGTAAACAATGAGCGTAACCATGCTTCAGAATCATTACAAAGAGCACAAGAGACTGCTGTTCCTAGCATTCTAACAATGATTAGAAACCGAACAAGGGATCAGAGAGGACGAGAGTTGACCCGTACGGCCCCTGAGTTCTTGCCAGCATCTCCGGGTCCTTCCATAAATCACCTGTCATCCGTTGAAGATGTGTCAGGACCGAGAGCAGAAGTCAAAAACAGCGAAAGCCCCGTCATTACCGGCCATACCCCTCTAGATGTACGGCAGAAAATTTTGAGGTATCTTGAAAAAGTCGACAGGGCACCCATAGAGACTCCCTATCAGCTGGCTAGCATAATCACACGACTCTCCATGAGTGTATTTGACCACCATGAAGTACCAGCAGAATTCCAATTCTTTGACTTCTTTGAACAATCAATTGGAGTAGTTGTAAGTCATCTCTGTTCAGCAGACTACAAACGCGATATTTCTTGCTGATCAACGATCGCGGCAATAGTCGAATTCTACAGCACATCTGCTCCGACTCTTCAAGGATCGGGCTACTAACGACAAAGGTGATAACTTACAGGGCCACATAGACATTCAAGAGGAGGCCAATCTCCTTGTTGAGATAGAGGACATACATGATGAGTTGATGATTCTTGAAAAAATACTCGAGGATCAAAAGTCTTTCATGCAAGATTTTGGGATGACTTTGACGGATGCAACTACCAGCGATGATGGCAACGACCATATAAGCAATAGCCTTCCCGTCGAAGACCATTTTATCATCGAAAATCATGTTCAAAGAGTTGATTCAATGCTGAAGAGCACCGAAAAGACCAAGAACACGGCAAGTCGCCTCGTGATCAGAGCGTGCGGTTTGAATTGAGTCTTATCGAATCATTTGCTAATCGGTTGATAGCTTTTGTCCTTGCTGGACTTGAAACAAAAGCAAGCCAGCATATTCCAGGCCATGGCTTCCGTCGAGTATTCCCGACAGCAGGCCAACCAGGCCAGAGAAACGGCAATACAGGGGCGAACGCTCATGCTCTTCACGGTCGTAACAATCTTATTCGTGGGTCCCATAATCATTAGTTGGGTATGTCAATATGGATACTAATGGTAGCCCGTGTACTTAGCTCCCCCTCTCGTTCATGTCGGCCTTTTTCGCCATTGAGATTGATGTATTTCCCGTCAACGATAACGGAAAGCTTCAGCTAGACTATATTCTCAAATACATGGGTAAGTGGTGGTCAGTTACGCCATTGTGTTGCCATAACTGATAAAAATGACGATTGCTAGTGGGAATATCTGCCGGCCTTTCTATCCCATTCATCTTCGTCGCCTTCAACCAGGATCAGTTCGGTTATTGGATGAACAAGGTGCGCTCGTGGATGCGGACATGGATGCGTGAGAACTCCTCCATCATGATGACGATTGGGGTGATAATTGTGATAATGGTGTGCTTTGGCGCGCTACTCTCAATTATCTGGACCTCTTCGCTTACTGATGGAATCAAAGTAGCTGTTTCTATGGCTGCAACATTGGGTTGCCTGGTAGGTATAATAGGATTTGGAATTTACAAACTGTTGCGCCATACACGACGCATAAGGCCGGGAGCAACAACATTGGATACTGTCTTCTCGGGTACTGTTTCCCCGAGAACTGTCTCTTCGGGGTATGCCTCCTCGGGTACTGTCTCTTCGGGGTATGCCTCCTCGGGTACTGTCTCCTCGGGTACTGTCTCCTCGGGTACTGTCTCCTCGGGTACTGTCTCCTCGGGTACTGTCTCCTCGGGTACTGTCTCCTCGGGTACTGTCTCCTCGGGTACTGTCTCCTCGGGTACTGTCTCCTCGGAACATGACTCCGTGTTAGTCTAGTTTCAAGAGTATAGACCACAGTGATTATATAGAAACGAATCTCCACAGGGCTTTCTTTGCATTTTTTGCCAACTCATAAATTTCAATTTTGGTTGAATCTATGGCAATTCAACTGGCGACTTCATCGTCCATGTTTTTGTAATCGTCACCCACGATCAACGACGTGCCGTCCCACCAATCCGTCTTCGACCGTGCCGTGCCGCCTAGCTCCCCGGGTATGTTGATCGGATCCCAATTCTCCATCTCCACAATCTCAGCGCCGCCTGCTTCATGAGATACCTTGTCCGCCGTAACAATAGTCTTTTACCCGGGGCCGTCTTTCGGGTGGTCATTGGTGACTTGATCACTTGTCTGTTATTGCTGTTGCTTCATCGCCTTTTTGTACTTTGTGACGCGCGCAAAGAGTGACGCGATAATGCAGCTACCAATGACCGTCGCACCGACTGCTGTCCCGCTGCCCGCCTATGCTCCCTTGGAAAGTGCTCGCCGGAATTTGTACCATTGCAGTAGAACAAGTTACCAAAACCGGCCCTCTCAGCTTGGTCTTTCAGATAATTACAACTAAAGTCTTGATTCCAAGGCTCGATTCGCATGCTGCTGCGTACAACAGTTAAGCTTGGACATAGGCTTGTCGCCAGCACGCTATGATCCCGATTGTGTGTCAGTAGACTTGAACCCTGGAGAGTGTTCAAGTCACAAACGAATGGATTAGACGAATCTCAACATCTCAGTACAGGCCCGTTGAAACCTGCACAAATATGCCGGGATCATAGTATCATTTTGTGTCCCTTGTGGATTCCAACTATCGGCGATGGATGTCTGCATCATGATGTGATGCTGGTAGTCAAAAGTTGGGGTACTGGCACAAATAGCATCGCCGTATCTGAGGGCAGTATTTTCCGAGGCCTAGTGTATAGGATCTGCAGGTTCCGTCATGAGGGGTGTCGCACAGCTGCATCACTGACTTGTCATTTCCGATGAGGGGAAATGGAACCAGGGACAATCTATGTGGACTGTAAGCTGTATGCTGCCCACAATATCGTAAGGAAAAAAAGGTCGAGAATACAGCATGTTTCTTATGCTTGTTTGCTTGAGGCTCACTCCTAACTTGTACAAACAGAATGGCTGGCAAGTCGCTCCTGGACGTGAAATATGACGAATTACCAGATCCCACAAAGGTATGGCTCGGCTCGCCAAAGAGCCGTGAGGAAGGTCTTGGGCGATTAGCCTTGCTCACAAACGATCAAGTGCGCAAGGCCGCCACCGAGCAGATCCGAACAGGACGGCGCGTAGGCATGAACTGGGAACTCACGAAGATGGAAACTCCCGGCTTGGGACGCCAGCCATGCGAGCACTCAATCGTGCCTCTTCTGAGCGGCTTGTGTTTCGACGATATCTACCACTTTAATCCACGTGGGCAAGTCCCGTTGGCACGTCCTTTGAAGGAGTACTAACATGATGGGGACAGAACAGAGTAGTCAGTGGGATGGCCTTCGGCACTTTGGTATGAAGGTCAAGACAGACGCCAATGACGAACAACACTCAGAAGAGAAACGCCTATTCTACGGTGGCACCACGGAGTCGGAAATCCTGGAAAAGGGCAACGACAGGATCGGCATCCAGCATTGGGCACGTGAAGGCATCACGGGCCGCGGTGTGCTGATTGACTATGCATCCTGGGCCGACAGCAAGGGACTCGAGTACACGACGTTCTCGCAACACACCATCAAGCTCGACGACGTCCTCGAGATTGCGCAGACGTCCAATATCGTGTTTGAAAGGGGGGATATCTTGCTCATTCGCAGCGGGTTTACGCGGGAGTGGGAGGGAATGTCCTCGGATGCCAAAAAGGCGTATTCAACATCGCAACACCCGCAGCATGCCGGCATCGAGGCCACTACCGATGTCCTGAGGTGGCTTTGGGATTCTGGCTTCTCTGCCGTGGCTGGCGATGCGATATCTTTCGAGGTGTTTCCGCCGACAGGAGATCTGATGCTTCACGAACATATCCTGGCTGGATGGGGAATGCCAATCGGTGCGTATTGAATTTGGTGTAGTTGTGAATTTCTCTGCTAACGTTGATACAGGTGAAATGTTTGATCTTGAAGAGTTGTCTAGGGTCTGCAAAGAAGTCGGTCGCTGGACATTCTTCTTGACGTCGATGCCTCTGAACATGCCCGGCGGAGTCTCATCGCCACCAAATGCACAGGCAATCTTTTGAGAGCTTGCAATGTGGTGTTGATATAGATAGACCAAAGGGTCAGATCAGCACAGTATAGCTTCGAGTTTTCAGGCTGTACATGAACGTGGCCTGGTAAATCTGAATCTCGATGCATATGCGTAGGATCGTCGATACTCGTCTTCGTAATGTCTCTTTACTAGTTTTCGCACACCGAACGTGCCTCTAAAAGTGAATGATCCTTCAAGTGGCCAATCGTCAAGACAATGATCATCGTTGGGTGGGATCGGCAGCAGGGTGAGGGCTGTTGCTTGCTTTTCGCCTCTGGATGAACTGTGCCCAATTGGTTGCTGGACCCTAAAGACGTATCCAGATGTGAAAATGTCGGCATGAATCGCTTGCACTGAGCGTGGCTGAAAACACCACTAATCTTCCATAGACGCGTAATCTCATGGGCCCTTTTTTTTTTTGTGTACCTACCTAACCTAGGTGGCACCATGAGGTATGCGGGAGAAAAGGGACGTATAAACGATTCCTGGCTTTTTAAAGTACCTACCCAACTGACGAAGCATCCACTAAACTGGGCAGTACAATCCGGGGCCTTCGGTGTCTTTTGGCCCCTGTCCCTCTTTGCCTCGTCGCTTGAGCAGAAAGGAACACGGAAGAAGACAGTATATTATTGACATTTAGAAAGCGTACGCGGTCAGGCACTAAAACTGGTGCCAGGATAACCAACCACTGACACACTTGTCTTTTGATTGAACCGCCCTGGGTCATGTCGAATTTGATAGTGTTTCTTGTACGAAACGAGGATGATCCGCCTGTCTACGTAGATTCCTACTTGGCTTCTTCTCATTGCCACTACCACAAGTGCTGTAATGATTCGGCCGGAGTTGAATAGGATACTCTCCGATGAGATGAAGGAGGTTCCGCTGGAAGGAAGAAAGAAAAAAGCTTGTCTTTTGCTTTCATGCATATCCACAAAATCAAACAGGGGAACTTGTCATCATGGCCGTGTCCTGTTCGACCTTCATTGGGGTGGGCCGTGGGGCAGCGATGGAAGCATACATTTTAACAGTAGTACCAAGCTTTTTGCTAGACCCAGGATTGCGGAGCTACCGGAGCTTGGCCGTGGAGTGCTCCCGCCTTTGACAAAGAGATATACTTACCTATCCTGCCTTATTAGGGGGGTTATGTAGGTTAGGCTACTAATTTTAGGGAGGTTCGTTATGACATGTGCGTAAGACTAAAGCCTCTCATTCCACGAGTAAGTGTCCTAGAGAAGAAAACATGGACTTGTATCGTGGCTCTGCTTTGAAGAACTGTAATCCAGCATGTATGCTTCAATCTCATGTACTTTACCTGTGAGCGGAGATACTGTCCATGTTCTTTGTTTAACTCCAGAGATCAAAGAGGCACGGATCCCATTTTCATTCATTTCTCTCGTTCGTCACCCTCGACGGCAGAACCCTGTACAATTTCTTGTTTCATGTTTCCACCGCCGCTCCGTAAGACGCGTGGCCCGGGGAAGTCGCAATTACCAACGATACCGTCACTATTGGGCGGTCATGGAAGAAAACTGACGGCGGGACCCTGGGAAAGAAACAGAACAGCTTTATCCCACTTCCCGAGCCTCATTTCGTAATGCTGGATGGCCACTATCACGAGTCCGGAATAGCCTCCCGGCAATTGATTGCCCAGACGTTGGAAGCCCTGGACCTTGGTGCCCACCTCCTCCTTGAACTGTACGTACATGATCCGCTGTATTGCACCATTTGGCATATATGCCGGCACCCAAGGAGCACCTGCGATGGAGACCAGGCTTGGGATATAAACAGTCTTTGGACGTCCCTCCTTACTCCATCTCGGAGATAGAATCGTGTCACCAAGTCTGTCTTTCTCTTCTTCTTACAACGCAATGCATTCCCTTCTTCTACTCGCTGCCGCGGCTGTGCCTGCGCTAGCTGATACGCATTATTTCTTTGCAGGTTCCTTTGCTGGTACAACCATTGTCGGTGTTGAGTTTGACGATGCGGCTTCAACCCTTACACTTGTCAACAATATTACCACCAGCGCAAGCGGAGGCAGCAAGTGGATCAACATTGATGTAAGTTGTCAGAGAAAATTGCCTATTTCACGATTCATGGCTGATTGAAATCACAGGCCGCCAAGGAGAACCTCTATGTAGGCACAACGGGGTCTTTCCAGAGTTATGCCGTGACCGCCGATCTGGGTTTGACATACACGAGCGCTGTCAACTTGTCTTCGGACTGTAAGTGATTATGCAAAGCTTGAAGAATCCGATTAGTCCATGAACGCTCATGTGTCATCTCCTCAGGCTCCAATGCAAACTTCATCACATCTTCTACTTCGTCGCCTTTCACCGTCTTTGCCACAGCCTACGGCGGCGGGTGTCCTAGCCAGGCTATTTCAGTCGACGACACCGGAGCATTGGTTGCGGCCTTTGCAAATGCCACCTACGATAGCGCTGGAGGTGTCCACGGAACGGCACTGAGCCCCAACAATGACTTCCTCTACTCTGCCGACGACATGGGCAATGCCGTCTGGGTACACTCGTACGATGCTGAGACTGGCGCGGTCGAAGAGGTCCAGTACCTGGCCGCTGCCAGCGATTCAGACCCTCGACATGTGACTGTCCACCCAAACGGCCAGTGGGTGTACGTTGTCTACGAGGCAGCAAACTCCGTCGCTGCTTACAAGCGCGACAACACCACAGGAGAGTTGACCTTTGACAACACTACCTACTCGCTGCTGCCTACTGGTAAGCCAAAATGTTCCATGCCTCCATACCATGAATGACTGACTGACTGACATTGCCCAAGGATTCACCAACTCTTCCTCGTACTGGGCTGATGAGGTCCTCATCTCCATCCCGGCCAGCAACAGCAGCGCCACGTCGCCCAAGTACTTGCTCGCCGCAACGCGATCCCGCACGACGGGTATTTCTGGCTACGTCTCTGCATTTTCCCTCGACAGCGAGACTGGCGCCATTACCGAGCAGCTGTTCCTGACACCCACGACCAACAGCGGCGGGTCTGCCAATGCCGTTTCTCCTGCACCTTTCAGTGAGGATTACTTTGCCATCACCGACAGCGGATCCAACTTTGTCGAGGTTTGGAAGATTGACGCATCCGACGACGCAACGACGGCTGCCCCGGTGGCTCATCTTGATCTGGCCAGTGGTCCTGCCAATGTCCAATGGGTCAACTAGAGGTGATCACCTCGGCATGACCATTCATCAATCTAGGTGACTGTGTCGAGTATATAGTATCTAAGAGTTCTTGTCAATATATGAGATCATTGTACATACAAATTGATTGAAATTGTCAACAGCATTTATGAATGGATACTTGCTAAAGAAAAGCAAATGTATGGGAAACAGCTTATATGTTCTTTCCAGCAGAATAAATGTCATCCCTTGGCACGGCGTAAAGATTCATGACCAAAATCAAGGCATACCCAGTTACAACTCGATTGGCAGCGCCAGGTCTGCATGCCGCGCTCAAGGTAGTCAAGACCATGAGTTTTGCAATTGTTGCATCCATTCCCTGGAATGAGAGATGGATGCCGGACATGCATCGGGCAGAGTGGCCGGCGTCAATGCAAGCATTCTGTAAAGACATATAACGGCAGCGCAGATCTTTAAACATGAGCGACAGTCTTGCGAAACGGGTGAGGCTATGTCGGCAGGCCTGCCAAGCTTAATGGAAGGCATTATAGAAGCTTTTTGTCGGTCGATGCAAAGAAGGTTGAAGTCTCGACTTTCTGCAGATCATACTGCGGCCGTGTCGAAATCCGGCCAGTCAGAGCCGTCGACCGTCTTTCTGCCCTTTCCACCACCCCGGCACGTTTTGGGTGCTCGGTGGTTTATCTCCATTATGATGAACGCCGGGGGGTGTTCGGCATCTCCACAGGATATCCTAGCGACTGTAGCATTCCTGGGAGCGCCGAAACCCCCCTGGTCTCTCTCCGATTCAAAGTTGGAAACGGTCTTTTCTGGAATGACGCTGCCACGTGAAATGTACAGAAGTGGTAGGAGGAGTAGAAGTCAAACTGCGAGAACCTCGACTTTGTTTGATTGTGTATAAGTATCGTCTCATTCCACAGCCTGTCAACCGAATTTTCAAAGTGCTTCATCCTGACTTTTGAACTGTCGAACCCGTCGTCTCATTTGCAATACCCATCTTCATTTCTCTGCCCTGGCTGGCAAAAAAAAATTTTTCCAATAATACATTTGATAATCAATCGCTGTGCGCTTCTCTCAAAAGATACCCATTAAATAACACAATCATCACCATGTACTCTCCTCAACTCCTAGTCGCCACCCTCATCGCCGCCAGCGCTGCCTTGACAGGTGCCAGTAAGCCTCCCCCCTTTGCCTCAGACGCATAACATCATGTATTGAGAACATGTTTAACACGAGAAACAAATAAAAAGTCAGCCTACAGCCACGCCAATCCTCCTTGGCGTGCAACCTGGCCCGCTTCCAAATCGTCAAGGCCATTAGCGACACCAAGAGCGCCGTCGCCGACATTCAGGACCCGACGGTGCAGTCGGCCGCGGCCGCGGGCGTCAAGACGGCCCAGGGCGGCGTCGCCCAGGTGGCCTCGTCCCTCTTCTCGGGCGCCGCCCCTTCTGCAGACGGTCGTGATGCCGTCGAGAGCGGACTCAATGCGACGAGCGCTGCTCTTGCGGGCGGTGATGCGTAAGTTTTTGGCTACCCCCTTTGAATTCTCTTTCTTTTGCCCTAATTCATGTTTGCTAAATTATGATCGTATAGGACCGACCCGGCCATAGCGACCGCTCAAACGTCGCTGGAGGATGCGATTGCAGCAGGCCAAGATGTACTTGCAAACTGTTAGACTGAATTGCATGCGTATAATTTATAGACGCAGGAAATAGACTGGCTATAGTATACATGGATTATATAATTAATGAGATAAATGACAAGATAATATTGCATATAAATTGCTCATTCGTTGTAATGATGATTGATTAGAGTTGATGATAATAAAGCTCGTATACTACTACTTTGCTGTAGATTAATGCAATTAGTCCCGTTTCAGGTAGCGGCCGCTATAATCGTCGTCCCTTGGCTTGGTATAACATGGACATCATCCACTAAAGCGCGAGCTTATTCATGTTTTCGAGCGTGAAGTGCAAATTTGATAACCGCGGGTGGTATATGTTCATATTACCAAATCACTATCGTTGATATGCACCAAATTTCACCATTATCAATCCTCCGGGTTGTCCAGACCCGGAGTTCGATCGGACATATCTGTGCTCCCTGAAACCCCGCAAGTATACACAGCGGGGAGTGACACGCCTACCTCGGGACAGAGCACTGACGCCATGCGACTGGCTGACGGCTGTTGTGACCTAGACAAGTACCTCAACAATATTATTCATTCCTGAGAGTAAACAGTGCTGATATTCAAGCTCTTGTGCTATCGCCATAACCAACAATCATGCCGTCCGCTCGTGCCATGGAAATCTCTGGTGCGCCCGACCCTGGTTATATCCCCCCGTCGGATGCCGCCCACGACAACACATGGTACAACCAAGACTTTGATGGGTACCGCATCTCGGAGCATCCGCTCTTTGAAAAGAGACGGCTCCGGGTCGTGTGCGTGGGCGCCGGCGCCACTGGCCTTCAGCTGGCCTACAAGGCGGAGCGGGCGCTGGAGGAGGTCGACCTTCAGATTTACGAGAAGAACGCCGATGTGGGCGGTACCTGGCTCGAGAACCGCTACCCAGGCTGCGCGTGTGATATCCCGAGCCACGCGTACCATTTTACCTGGGCCCGTAATCCCGATTGGACTTCCTACTACTCGAGCTCGGAAGAGATATGGCGATATTTCAAGGACGTTGCTGTCCGGTTCGACTTGGAAAAGTACGTCAAGCTGAACACTTCGGTCCGGAGCGCCACGTGGGATGAATATGAAGGGAAATGGCATCTAGAAATTTCGAGTTCCAACGGATCTGATTTCATCGACTCGTGTGATATTCTGATCTCGGCGTCTGGCATTCTCAACTCGTGGAAGTATCCAAATATCCCTGGACTGGACGAGTTTGGTGGCAAGCTGATGCACTCTGCGCAGTGGGACGAGTCTTATGTCTTTGACGACAATGTTCGTGTGGCCGTCATTGGCGGAGGGAGCTCTGGCGTCCAAATTATACCGTCTCTTCAGCCCAAGGTACAAAAGTTGGTCGCCTTCCTGCGCTCCCCCGTGTGGGTGACGACTGGATTCGGTGCCAAGCACGCGGCCCCGGGAGGAACGAATTTCGATTACTCTGAGGAGCAGAAGGGTGCTTTTCGGGAGGACCAATCTCTCCATCTCAAAGTAAGAACTGCCAAGAGGTGTGACGTGAGAAAAGAAGATGATAAGTCCGGCTGACCTGCTGGTAATAGTACTGCCGGGACGTGGAAGGAGAGCTCAATAAGCGCTTCAACCTGATGCATCTGCACTCGGAAGACCAACGGAGCTCGAGAAAACTCATTGCCGATATCATGGCCGACAAGATCAATGACGAGGCGCTGACGAAGCGAATGGTCCCCGACTTTGCTCTTGGGTGCCGCCGAATGACTCCCGGGTCGGGCTACCTGGAATCCTTGACCAAGCCAAACGTCGAGGTCGTTCATGAGAGCGTCGTCAGGCTGACCAGGACGGGAGTCGTGGACGCTGCCGGCGTAGAGCACGAAGTGGATGTTGTGGTACGACCTACATCCTTGAAACGATTATAGGACCCTCTCCGAGTAATTAGTTAACCTGTTCCAGGTCTGTGCCACTGGTTTTGATACGTCCTTTGCACCTCATTTCAAGGTCACTGGAAGGCACAATGCGGACATTGCAAGGCAACTCGGTGACTTTCCCCGAGGCTATCTTGGCATGGCAGTGGCAAGTACTCCCCATATCAGCCGTGATATTTCATGCCACGTGTTTCAAGCTGACAAATTGCCACCAGGAAAACTTTCCAAACATGTTTCGTGGGTGACTCCTCAATGTAGAAAAATCGACAGATATTGTGACATACTGACGAACAGCACAGTCATGCTTGGCCCGAATAGCCCAGTAAGCCATGGCAGTATCCTTCCCATCATGGAATGGGCCACTCGTTACATATTCCAAATCATCACCAAGATGCAAACAGAGAACATCAAAGCGGTCGAGCCCAAATCAAAGGCCGTCAAGGAGTACTATAACCATACGCATGAGCTCATGAAACGGCTTGGCTGGTCCTCTCGTAAGTCACTTGCTAACATGGATTTGACGGTGAGGCAAAGAAATTCCCGACTAATTCTTCTACACTCACCCAGCCTGTCGGTCATGGTTCAAGAATGGAAAGATTCACGGGCCCGTGACGGCCATTTACCCGGGCTCGCGACTCCACTGGTTCGAAATGCTGTAAGTCGTGAAAACATTTTCATACTTTTTGCGTGCTCCTCTGGGAAATATTTCTCTTCCATGTGTATCCCTTGGCTTCTGCACCCCCAGAGGCGTGTGAAAATCTCACCTTGGCTAGTAATCTTTGAGCGTCAATGCAAAGCACAAAAAGCTTACACTCCTTGACTTGCTAGGAAAAATGTTCGATGGGAGGACTATGAAATTGATTACATAACGGAGAATAGATTTCAGTTCATGGGTAACGGATTCAGTCAGACGGAATGCGACCCTGCAGGTGACCCGGTGTGGTACTTTGACGATCCATTTACCAAGATCTAGTTCTGGTAGCAGGTCTGGAGAACCTGATACGGAACATGCAGAATGTGTAATGAGTAGTTGTTCAGCTTCTAGGCTCAAATGGTTATGAGTTCATGGCATCACACTATCTCATCATTTGCCACGCAATCATGCTGCTTCTGTTAAATTCATGGATTCATGATTTGCACTACGTCCGAACATTCTAGAGCCGCATCAGCAACATCATGTATCGGCCGAGCCACTGCCTGCTTTAGTTGAGGATCAGCATTACATATACGAGTTTTGAGTGTATGTGTATGTGATGCTTTCCCTCTCTCCCTCCCGCACATCGATGATTGGCGAGTTGACAGGCACAATGCTCAAGAATCCGACAAGCTCAAGCCTCAACACAGCCTGGGACTAAAGCAGACATCATATCAACAGAGGGAAGTGTTGGGCATGTGCACCAATGCAGAAGTGCCCAAGCCCCTCACGTGATTATTGTACAGTCTTACATGGTTTGGCTTTCCTCTCCAAACGACATTATTTTATCAAGTATCATCCGTGTCCACCAGGAGGGTTTCCGTGTAGAGCGGACAGCATTCTTGGAACGTCATATGAAATATACACTTTCGATTCTTCGCGCCAACTTGCCATCCCTTTTTTGGCTTCCCATCTCGTCGATCTTTTAATTGAAGCATCTCGAGGTTGCTTTGGATGCGACGCGTCCTGCAATCGTATTCCGCAAGCTACTGTCCAAGAGCCCGAGGCCTATTCTGACAATGGCAGCAAATTTTTTCAGCAGGTTTGCCGTCCCAGTCCCCCAAGTCGTGTCTTGCCTTGTTAGAAACGACACGTATAACCATGTACTTGAACCTAATGGTGTACCGATAAAAGAAAAAGAGTTCAAGAAAAACAAACGCGAGCGAGGACGGGATGATGTTATTAATTTATTAAAAGTAAAATAAAGGGTTCAAAACTGCACAATGAAGCTTAAACCATGTAAACCAATCGGCAGTAATAAAATGAATATACGAGAGTAGGAAAACCCACATAATAATCTGCAAAAACTACAAGGCATCCAAGGGAAAACATCATTGAGAGGATGGCAAAATGAACCAGGGCGAATGTATGTCACGGCTGCCGATTTGAAGAAAGATCACGGGGCCGCAATTAGTGTAAGTAGCTTCGCGCAACAACTCCCCCCACGATATACTTCAACTTGAAAAGGAGAAAAAAAAGTGAATCGAATGTAAAAAATAAATCCTAGAAGTAGCACCACTCCGTTTCGATCGGAGGTCCTCCGGGTTATGAGCCCGGCGCGCTTCCGCTGCGCCATGGTGCTTTGATTTCCTTTCCAGTTGTTGAAAACAGTGCCACTTATCAAATCTAATAACACCCATTGCCCCGAAGCAGGACATGGTTTGACAGACGGGTGAGTCACGAATTCCTCCTTGTAGGTTTTTTTTTCCTGCGAGGGAAGAAAAAAAAAAAGGGATTCCACCCACCATCTCTGGCCGACGATGCTCCGGTGTGGGGTGAAGGGATAGAAATTTTTGTACTCATGTGCTAGAAAATTCGTAGGCGACAAAGGAAAAAATGATGTCCTGGCCGGTCACGAGTTATCTTAGGTCCCAGTATTAGGAGAAATTTCTACGGGGTAAATCGATGGGACGGCCACAACCACAGTATCCGGCCAACATGGCCCTACAACAGCATACATGTAAAGTGTTGATGTTGCAACTCGTCGGTGGTCGGTGACCACTTGGTGCGAGAAGAGCCGTCGTAATCTAGGTATCAAGAGGTTTCAAATGTCTCAACGAGCCGCCATTGCAGGTGATTTGACTAGATGCCTGCGCGGTGTTAACCATTTTGTATCAGAGTTCATTCTGTTCCCCTCTGATTTTTCGGGAGTATCAAGGGGAGGAGGCATTTCGGAATTGATGTCACGGGTGATCTAGGTTTACTTGTACAGAAGGACGGGAGAGATGGTGTTGGCAAGCTCTTGGAATGAGCAAACCTTTCAAGGAGCCGGCCGGTACGCAACGGTTAGGGAAGATTGACAAGGCTTTTCGACAGCCGATGCCTGAACCACGGTGGGCGAGGAGAGTTTGGCGCTGTATGATGGGGTATCTCGAACAGGCAGCCCAAAGGGTCGGTTGATGGGAATTACCACCTCTGGTTCAGCGCATCGTGGGATCTGCAAAACAGACCACACACGGGCCTTGAGACAACGACTCGGCCTAGGAGAATACCCGAGGTTCAGATATGTATACTTTTGCCATAAACAATGGAAATCCTGTGGAGCATTGCCCAAAACATACGACTTTGAGATACACGGGAATCCAGTATGTTTCTTGGTATGCGGTTCCATCCCAACCAGGGCAGACTCATGGAGAGACTGTTGTCGTGGCACTCCGAAGGCATCATCGGGCCGTGCTTACATACCAACTCCCCGACAGGCAGCTCATATCTCCTCGAGGGATGCTCATGACGACACCCCGGAACAAACGGATGGCCTCATTAGCCTGTTGGGAATGGATGGGAATGGATGGATGCTGCGTGCGAGTCGTGCGTCTTTGCAGACTACTAGCACTTGGCCTGTGTTGACTGAACGGCGAACCTAGCCGACTTTTGCGGTAATATCATTTCCTTTTTGGCAGTGCTACCTCGGGAAGAACTAAAAGAAAAAAAATTTGGAAAGGGCATCTGGAAAATTATTGTTCATGAGTAAAAGAACCGGCCTTGCAGGAAGAGATAAAAGCATGTATTGGCCCTTGGGATTCCCGGAATCTGACCGACTCCACAAGATCTATTCCCAGACAACTACTAGTATGGTATGTATGTAGTAACTATTCCGTAGTAAGGGCGATATTACGCACTGGTTTCTTGTTTTAGGGCGCGCGTGTGAAGTCTTGCATACGAAACTCTGCTTGTAAAAATACGGAGATTTGGCGGGGCCCGTATTCCCCTCCCAAGCCTCCATTCCCCTCATGGGATGCCCGCGTCCGAACATTGAGGGAACAATTCGCGATTCCGTTCATTGCTGGGATGAGTGGGACGTGGGCCGAAGCGGCACAGTGCAATACGCACCGACAGTGTGTATGTAGTGCAGAGGAGCTCAGGGTTCGGTGGCCAGGGATGCTAGGTCTCCCAAGAGGGTGGTGGGTGTGCCAATAGAAATTCCGTCGGTCGCTGGTCAAGTAGTTTAAATGGCTGGTTGCACCCTAAGCTTGGTAAAGTAGTAGTACGATATACACCTGCTATCATCTCGAGGTCAACGGTTTGGATCCCCTACCACATAGGTAGTGCAGATCAGGAGCATCGGCTGCATCTTTGGAGGGTTAAATTTTCAGCAAGGCGTTTTGGTGATGGATACATGCAATCGGATGAATGTGAAATCCTCGAAAAGCGACGGGCGGATCTGGAAGAAAACTATAGCCGGAGTCAGCCACAAACCAGCGCCGAGGTCGTCTGATATTGGCGTCGCTGGTGTCGAGCAGTAAAGAACAGGCCTTTGATAAGTACTAGGCAATTGCGCCAGCTGGGCGTGTGACATGACTGGAGCGGGTTAGGCGGGCGTACTCGTAGTTTGGAAGTACGCAGTAAAGTGTAACGCACCATGAGAATTGATGTGCTCAAGCTCATCCATCCAATTCAAACATTGCCTTGCCCATGTTTGATGAATATGCCTGGCACGCGCGCTGAGGCTGACGAGTCAGCAAGATATCACAAAAGCTTGGCTATTTGCTGTTCTAGCGGAAGATAAACCTTGCGTCGGATACCTAATATAAGCCATGTAAATGCTGCCCTTCCAACCAGGTGGACACGAAACGCAGGGCACGGGCGGGATCACTATCCAACATTGCTTATACCTTTAGTCCTAGTGGAACCATGAAAAAGGTTTCCAAGAGCTGGTAGTAGTTTTGATCAGTCCCATAGCTATACTGACGGGGCAGTTTGGCCATCCATAACTCTAATTGGAATGCATCGAGTTGAATTAGGCAACCAGTCACGAAGTTTGTGGTAACATGGACGGGCGGTACTTGACGACGACGACGTGTGGACGAAGTATGCGCCGAGCAGACGATACACGCGTCTGGAATACGCCGGTCGCATCTGATAGAGCAAGTAACCAGTCTGCCTGGGATGGCGGGTCTCTAGAGCGCGATGCCTCTGATTGAGAGTGTGACCAATGATATGACTTGACCTGCGGCATAATCATATATTGAACGATTCCGCTGTTCAATGTAAGTGTCAGGGAAACCCGGGGTGTCTCGCTACTACTATTACTGTGTACATAGGGGCAGGGCACGGGGCGCCTTGGTTGACAATCCTAGACCACCGGAAGCATCATATGCATATGGCGAGCTGATGTTTATTAGTCAACCTGGCGATTGGCTGGGTTGGTTGGTAGGTTGGGTTGTGGACAGTGTCTAGTGCGCTCGAGGAACTCATGACTTTTTTTGAGACACTGTCGACCTGCTGCATCTAGGCTGAAGGCATGATACAGGATCAGTGTTGGATGGCAAGCTGCTGCCGTAGTTCAGGGGGGGCGGGACAGGCGGACAGGCGAGCACTCCTCAATCAATTAGTCGGTCCAGCTACCCAGCAAGTGCAATCATGTCGGAGAAAGGAGCAGTGTTGCCGTGATGCCTGCGATATAGCCAAGTCAGGACTGGGGGTCGGACTCCGTGCTGCTGCAGACTTGCGGCGAATGATTTTGATCAGATCGATCAGCATGGAGGGTTTTGGCTTTTTCGCCTTTTGGCAAGGCCAAAAAAAAAAATGATGACGGACGAAGATGAAGGCGGCGGCGACTGGGTACCTACCTACCTACCTACCGCCGTGGGCTGCCACGCATCGCCTACTGTAGCAAGGTGAGCAAGTAGTAATGTGTCGGGGCAACTACCTAGACCTCATGGCATAGCACCAATAAAACCCAAACTTGTGAGGCGCTATTACACCGGAAGCAACAGTTCTACGCATCCGGGTGGTAAGACCTCCGGCGGCCCTCTAGCATCGTGTGCCGTCAGCAAGTG